AAGGACCACTTTTGGAAAGGTTTGCATAAGCAATTTTAAAATTATTTAATATTATTTCTCAGCTTTTCCATGAAAGTACTGTAATTTTCAACTTGAAAATTGCTAAAGAAAAAGCATTGCAAACATCAAGCCTTGGTCGTCAAATTCAAGTACTCTCAAGGCCTTGAGTTTTTAATTTTTAAATTCAAGCATCGATCTTCGAGGACATTCAAGGCTTTTACAAACCCAGAGTAGGTAATGTATTTGTCTTTAACAGCAAGGAGAAGGGAATTTCTTATCTAGTATTGGTACCAAGTCATAGTTTGTTGCCAAATGTTCACCCAAGGAGAGTTGTCAGAAATCAATAGATTGAGGCAATATTACTGTTCAATAGTTCATATTGTTTCTAATAGAAAGATCTCTGAATATTTAATACTGCTGATGGCCACAACAAGGGAAGCAGTGCTATTTACATTTTTAGTATCTTCAATTACAGGCATTTGACTTTCATTACATACCAAGAGGGAATACACATATTTTGACCTTTTTGTGAGTTTAAAAATACAAGTCATACAAAAATCTGAAAACCACATCAAAAACCCTGTGCATTCAACTATTATTTCTTACAAGATTTTCAAGAATTGATTTGCTGTCAACTGAGTCAGACAATTCCTTCACTGTAATCACTTTTTAAGATCTGAACTTACTTAAGTTCCACAAACACCAGTTTTTGGCAAATCATCTGACAGTAAATATTTGTTCAAAGGTGAATTTTCATAATCTTTTGCCATACTGATTAACATTAGATAAAGTGTTTGAATTCCAATAACTACATGATTTTATTACGGAGTAGCAGAGTGAATAGACAGCCACAGCACAATTCACATTGAACTTTCTGGTTTCACAGGTATGACTCTGAAAATGGGCACTATTTCGAACTTTATCAATTTTAACCCCTTTCAACTCAATTATATCAGTTATGTATACTCTAAAAATAATGTACTAAGCTATTCAGTGACGATACTTCAAGCAGCACACATTACCTTGAGAATGGCTTCTACCATAAATATCCGGCAGGTACAAAAAGCAGGTCACAGGTCACAATTAACAGGTCACAGGCAACAGGTCATAATTAACAGGTCACAATTAAAGAGTTACGTATATATATGCGCGATCCTTCGCAGTAAAGCACACCGGATAGAGTAAAGGCGTTGCATTATAGTGTTCCATTTCCGGTCGTCAGAAATGAACACAAAATATACATGCGTTCCGGTTTTCGTGTAAGAATAGAACAATAAAATGTCACTAGTTCAACATTCTGTTGGGTGTACTGGTGTTGTTTCCTCTGTTCAAAAGCTTGAAGACTTCTTGTTAATGTGCAGACAGAAATAAAATTTTTTTCGAGCTGTAGGGGCTTGGAACGAGTCTCTGAGAGAAGCCTGGAACGAGGAATTCCCTCGTGCGCGTGAGAATCATGGCGGAGGAAGGAGAGGATTTTGAGGTAAGAAATTAACGTTTTTTCTGGCTTTTTTTGGTCTTTTCAGCTGGTTGTAAAGCCATCTATTTCCTTATCCATCATCCTAACACATACTTATTTACTAAGTATCGACTGTAATTCAATCATAACCTGCCAATGAGGGTCTTGTTGTGGTTGTGTTTGGTTGTTCCTGCGATATTTCCAGGCGTAGCTCAAAATAGGTGGCGTGGTTTTCAGCTTTTCCAATATTTCACCTGTTCTTTTATGCTACATTACTCTTCCAAATCATAATGTAAGTTGTTAAATATGTTTACAAGCAAAATACTTAGTAAATAAGTATGTGTTAGGATGATGGATAAGGAAATAGATGGCTTTACATCCAGCTGAAAAGACCAAAAAAAGCCAGAAAAAACGTTAATTTCTTACCTCAAAATCCTCTCCTTCCTCCGCCATGATTCTCACGCGCACGAGGGAATTCCGCGTTCCAGGTTTCTCTCACAGACTCGTTTCAAGCCCCTATAGATCGAAGAAAATTTTATTTCTGTCTGCACATTAAAAAGAAGTCTTCAAGCTTTTGAACAGAGGAAACAACACCAGTACACCCAACAGAATGTTCAACTAGTGACATTTCATTTTTCTATTCTTACACGAAAACCGGATCGCATGTATATTTTGTGTTCATTTCTGACGACCGGAAATGGAACACTATAATGCAACGCCTTTACTCCATCCGGTGTATAACTCTTTAATTGTGACCTGTTAATTGTGACCTGTGACCTGCTTTTTGTACCTCCCGAATAAATATCCCTTGGATGAGAATCCAATATTTTCAAGCCAACATTGCCTTTTCAATAGATAGCTACTTGCAGTACATCCTGTAATATTATAGGAAGAAGCAGGACGAGACAAATATAAATGTCAACAGAACGACTGTTTTTAATCAAGATGGCGGATCTCTCTCCATTTGCTAGTCACGTGACATACGTAAACATAATACACAGGGATACCATACTACACATCCTATTGTCAAGACAACATTGTTGAAATTTTCAGATATAAGAGATTGAAAGGCTCTATCTAAGGTGGTATAGTACTGATATTCTTCTATTGTAGCCTCTTGATGAATAGTGCCACTGTAACTTTCACTGTATTAAAGTTCATAGTCAGTCTTGAACACATTTATAAGTGTGGGTAATTCTGTCTGCATTAAAATTGATTGTCTGGTTAATTGAGACAAACTTGAATACCACTGATTTCCAATATTGATTATTGACACCAGATCATTAGCAGAATTGATTCCTTGTTTGTTATTGTAAATCAAAGAGTATAAACTCATTGCAACACATTGTTGCCCTGAATTTTGTCCAAATACCAACTCATTAGCTTGGCTATATGGTGCCGTTATTGTTTTGCTAGGGTCAATGTACATTGGAGTAGGACAAGGGTTTTTCTCTATATCTGAATTCAGTTTAAATTTACAATAGTTTGATACGTGTGTCTGACTCTTACAAAGACACATGGGTCTATGAGAAAACATTGATACAGCGACCTGCTCTATATACCTCAATTTAATTATCCTTTGATATACCCTCACAGAATAATTCAACAAATACTTCTTCTCATGTTGTGTAACTTTATTTAATCTTACCTTCTTCGTATTAAGATTACAAACATTCTTTGTAACTCTTCTAACCTTCACATAACGACGTAACCAAGAGGAATTCGGTATGCTTGGACGAACACGCTCATAAACAAATTCCTTCAGTTTTTTGCCCTTTCTTCTGAGACGTTTCAGAGCAGCTTCTTGTATTCTACTGGGTTCTCGATCACGTCTAAATACACGGATGTGTTTACATGTAAACATAATACGAGATAGCTCGTTTGATATAGCAGGTTTCGCTTGATATTCCTCCATAGAAGGTTCACTCGAAAAGGATTGCTCGTAAATTGATCTCTCGTAAAGTTCGCGGACCGACCCGTTCCCAAAACGCTCCACAAGTTTTAGTGTGGGTCTACTGACAACGGTGTGTGACTTTCTAAGTATATTGAGCGTAATAGCCCGTCGAATTTCTTTCGCGTACATCAAGCAAGGAATTGCCCACGAAGGCAGCCATCGGTAGTTACTAAAACATGGAACCACCCAAAAACCATCCAAAACCACCCACGACCACCCAAAAACCACCCAAAAACCACCCAAAAACCACCCGAAAACCACCCAAAAGCCACCCAAAACGAAAAAGGTCACGCAAGCACGCAAAGGCCTGGGTGTGGGTGGTTTTTGGGTGGTTGTGGGTGGTTTTGGATGGTTTTGGGTAGTTTTGGGTGGTTTAGGGTGGTTCCATGTTTTAGTAACTTCCAGCAGCTTTAAACCATGCTCTCTAGAGTTCATTCTACGCATGCTCATACACTTCACGCATGCGCTGTAGTGGAACTGCGTTTTGTGACTGAACGCAAAAAAAAACAAAAACAAAGCCGAATTTATACCTCGGGCGTTTCCTTCGGAAAGTCCGAGTAATAAACGTTGTTTTCGTTTAATTTCTGATCATCAAGATATCCTTTGAACATTTCTATCTGGGGTTCCTATAATAACAATCACCCCAACTGTTGGAGGAAATATGTTTTCAATTGCGTCTCAGTCTCAATGCTCTTCGAGATGAAATAGCGTTGATTAGTTAGGTTGAGAAAAAGTAAAATACCAAGCATTCAGGGTTTTATAATCGCCAGTTCAAAAAAAGATCGAAAAAAAGTTTTCTCTTATCTTGAAACTTCAATTCCTCGCTATTTTCAAGGAAACATGAGACAATACATGGAGATATTGCTTAGAATAGGGCGTCACAAACTCGTCGACTTGTTTCACTCAATATTTCTTCTGCGGCAAATTATATAGTTGGAATACAAACCACGTACACTGATTTTTTTCCTTTTACATTTGTCCTATCTTGGCACCGCAATATTGCTGACAAACGGGACCAGCCACCACTAGATGATAAGGATATTTCATAAGCTATTAGAACTCTTTATAAGTTTCTAAAATAATGAGTAATTTCAAACTTTTGCCATCTTCAACCGTTTTTGGAAACCACATGTGGCTCAATGCTGGCAAAAATTTTTGTTCTGAGGATGTTTATCCAAAAGCCTTTTACTGAACAGGTCTAAAAGAAATCATTCTTCCAAAGCCAGGCAATGGTCGGAGAGAAAAAAATTCTCACCTCACGTGTTTTATCAATTCCACAGTAGTATGAATTGAAGGAGTCTCCAACACAATTCTCATTCTCTTGGTTCCCATTATACTGATATGGTAGACGGTATTTGTTATTGACTTTACGGGCGTAAAATGCTAAAACGTTTTTTTTTTTACAACAGTAATACGTACACCAGTTATCTGAACGTATACCATACCATGAGAATTTTTTTACCTTAGCGAAAATTTATATACGAATTTTCATTCCTAAGTTTACATTGACCTTTTTCACCCAACTTTGCTTCTTAGACAATGAACAATACCACAGCTGTCAATGGGACATCGCTATCGCCTGACGACATAACCTCTTTCTCTGTAATGGCCTGGGGAGTCGCCTTTGGGACCTTGGCAGTCATGGCCATATTTGGGAATTCAACCGTCATTCTAGCCTTTATTCGAAACTTATCGTTACATACACGCACAAACTTCATTATTGTTGGACTGGCAACCGCTGATTTGCTAGTGGGCTTGATCGCAGTCCCACTGTATATGAGTATGATGCTGCTGTACCAGAGACATCTTTACATCCCTTTGGTGTTAAGCGTTATTTACCATGCAATGGATGTGTTTGGAGGTTTTGCGTCTATATTTCACTTGATGTTAATAAGTCTGGAACGTTTTTATGCTATAGCGTACCCCGTGAGTCACAGAAATTCATCCAAAGTTGTTTATGTGGGGGTTTTGATGATCTGTTGGGTAACTGCTGGTACACTGTCCTTCGTTCACTCTTTCAGATACAGTAGCTACAATATAAAAAGAGCTTTCTTTATTCTGTTCTGCGTTTCCTTTTTCGTAGCATTTTTTGCAATATGTTTGATGTATCTTGGAATATGGCGAAAAGCAAAGGAAAGAAAGTTGGTCAGAAAAGGATCAAGGAAGACAGTTCAGAGACAGGATCACGAAGTCAGGATTGCCATATCTCTCCTCATCGTAATCATAGTTTTTGCTGTCACGTGGCTGCCATTTTTTTGTATAAACACTGTTTATTTTTTTCAGTCAGATCGAAAACGTAAGAAAATATCGTTTGAAGTCATCCAATTTACAAAGCTATTGCACTATTGTAATTCCGCCATGAATCCAATTATTTATTCATTTAAAATTCCCGGATTTAAAAATACCTTTATTAGTCTAATTAGGAGAGATCTGTTGAGATCTCCGAGAACTTCTTTCGGCTTTTCACGAAGGGACTCCTCAAAACAACCAATGACACAGCTTCAAAAACAAGAAAATTGACAGTTGCTAACTGTATCGCTGTAATCATCAGGGGTACAGTCGCCCATGGAACCATGAAACAACCTCCAAGATTTAAGACCCCATAAACTGTAGTTATGTGAAGAAAAAGACAAAGATTGAAACTCTACATAACTTAGAGACTATCTTAAGTGCGTCAGATTACTGGCTAAACTATCTAGATAAAATGAGTACCCTTTGAAAATATTTTCTACCCACTTTTAATTTTTAGCCTGTTCTAATTTGTTCCTTTCCTCATTACTTTCGATTCGCTTGCAAATTTTACTTGCAAGTCGAGAAGATGACTTACGAGCGAAAAAGACAAACAATAGTAGAAAAACAAACTTAACGTCAAGCCCAGGTTCTGTCCTTGACAAGGCTGGCAAGCGAACATCAGGACACGAGATTTAAGTTACCCGCAGTTGGTCCATCAGACCGGGATGGCGAAAAGCATACACGATAATTTTAGGTTCTCACCCCGTCGAGCGTAAGATTGAGAATAAACTGGGAATGAACTGGGATCTTGGACCCTTTGAGGTCCAGTTTGAAATGGAGAAAACAATGACGAGATCATCACTCTCCACAAACTGCCGAGAGGACAAACCCATCACAATATTTTACAAAATAGTAAAAAGAAATGCCAATAAAGGTTTCTATGTTATGGAGAGTACAGCTAGGGAGCATGGAGAGGTCAAGATGGCTGGATAGCGGCAAATTAAGTTCTTTTCTTAGTTTTCGTGGACGAATTAAACAATTGTTCCATCGCAAAGGCTGCAATTTAATTTGCTACACTGATAGCCCTATATTTCGTGCTAGGATCCTGGTGAGTAGCCAAAGATTGTGGTTGGAACAAAATACAATGAAAACTAAAGCTGGTGTTGTTGCTAATACTTGAACGAAGACTAGATTTATGCTAAAACAATTAGATTATTCGCCCTTCATGTCTGCGCGTGATGCCGGGTTGATTCGGGCTTCGCCCTCATTGACAATTCCACAATAAAAATCCCTTAAAACATTTTTGGGTGATTTTCATTGTTCTCTATTCCTCGGTGATCAATGCACTTCTGTATCAGTCTCAAGGCTGCCTCCATTTACACATACAAGTGAAGTGGTGAATTAGGATTGCATGACGCTTTTTTTGACAACTCAATATAACATTTTCAGAACTATAGACATCATCTCCTTTTTTTTACAATAACTATTAGCAATAAAATTAACTATTAAATAATCCTGGTTTTCCCACAGAGTGCCTACTGTTTGTAAGGTAAGAAAATAAAATCAAAATGTTTTATAGTAAGTGTCACGATACCAGTGTTGTAAAGTTATACAACATATTTCGGTCACTTAGCCACGTTCATTGCTCGTGAGGAATTCCAAGGCATGTTCAGCAACACAGCAACTATTCATCTTAAAAGAATTTTAAAAAAGTCCTGAATAATACAAACAAGTTTGACTCGCTTCACTACACGAGCTTTGTTGATGAAGAAATTTCTTGTCCTGTAAAAGAGGGGGGTCTCAATGTCTTACATCTACAGAGTACATGACAAATCATTTTACATTAAAATCATCATGTCAGGACGTTTAAATAGCCTGCTTTCCAAAATTTAAAACCATTAGTGATGTAGCAATGGATTCAAAATACCTAAGCAAAATGACTGTTCTAAAATGATATTCAAACAAATAGATAAAAGAATATCCAAGCATGATTGACACTGGCTTGTTCATTCAAGATAGCTGTATATTGGAAGAGTTCTTTTTCCAATGGACCAAGACAAGGTGAAGGTCCATAAATAATAAGAATTTACAATGATTTATGTATTTTAATGTTTGTTTACACTTCTTCAACACCCACAGAACTTGAAATTTAAAAGCCCACAAAACATAGTCATTAACCATGATTAAAATCTTTGACTCAGCAGATTTCCAAATGTTTGTCTTCACAGATGCCATAGTTTTTCTTGTGTTTGTCAAAGAGCTCCTCTAATGCTGTTATGTACTGTTGGTGAATTGCATCTACCTCTTCTGGTAAAGGATTTTGAGTTTTTTTTACTTTGATTGGTGCACCAACTAAAAAAAGAAATAATAGACATTATGAGTCAGTGCTAATGGCTGACTATAGACTGGGACAATAGCATAATGACTTGATCCATGACATACATTTACAGTTGCCTTTTTCGATTTTCATCATTCAATTATAAAATTATGGGACCTTTAACAATTTTCTGACAGTCAGCATTCCATATAGAGTCTGCAGACTGAGTATCAAAAATTTTGAGTAGTCAGGAATGCACAAAATGATATAGTATGCAGTGACAAATCCACAGAATATAGATGAACAAAACATGAATGCACATACATCAAACAATTCACATATATAGAATATCTGACTAAGGTGGGATAGTGGGGGAGCAAGTGCACAGTATTTTCTTAGCAAATAATGGTGGCCATCTTTGAGTTTAATGGTAGTGGAAGGCTGGGGAGAAAAAGAAATTTGTTCTAAGGGGCCAAGTGACAGTCAAAAATAAGGAGAGGGGCTGGGGCTCTAACCACCATCCACTTTGAGTCCATCAAACATGGTGTTCAGGTAAACAAGCACAAGTTTATAACTTTAACTCAGCCTAAAAAGATACCTGCTCTGCAGGTTATGTTGTCACTAACAAAACCTCTGCCCTTGGGTAAGGTCTCTGTGCATGGCATCAATTACCAAACCTTTCCATCTCAGTAAGATGTATCATTACATGTTAATCATAGACTACATTCAACCAGCTGTTGACCCCTCAGAGCTATGATCATTGTTGTTTCAAATGTTATTTAACAATTATTCGCCGAAGGCGAGGTGAATATCGTAGAATAATCCCCGAGACGAAGTTGAGGGGATTATTCGACAATATTCACCAAACCTGAGGCGAATAATTGTTTTAGTATAATTTCAGAGCTGAACAACAGAGAAATTTCTAAAATCATAACATTTTAGTAACATTTATTAACATTTTATTTTAACATTTTATATAAACTGCGTGGAGCGGTTTATATAGCGTCATATAAGGAACTGCTCGACCAATCAGATTGCTGGAAACTCTTTGCTCAGCTCTGAAATTATACTAATAAGTGTTATAACTTTGTCTCAATATCGTCAGATTTTACTATTCATTGACCTATGATATTATTTACTTACAGACAGTGTAAATGGGTTGCCTGTGAGGCAGTAATCCATAAGTGTACTGAAATACTCCTCGACCATGGAAGAGTGGAGGTGCAAAACCCATCAGATCTTTCATCTTAGTTTGCCATTGACGCAATGCAGATCCAGGGGGGTTACTCACTTGATGATAGAGGTTGTTTTCTCCAAAGGAAAATACAGGTACTAGAGAGGCTCTTAAATGCCAAGATAAAACAGAAAGTTTCCCTTGACCATGATCAGTAACATGTAAATATTGTTTAAATCTATGTTACAAATAAGCTGATTAATGAAAAATTACAATATGCGAGCTGCATTTATAACAAAAGTACCATTTTCAGGATTATTATTTTTCCCTACACATTTCAGGAGGGAAATTTTTAGGCATATGAAGGCCTGTAGAGAGATAGGAAAAGAAGATTGGCCACTAGGGAAGGTTCACTGTTCCCACACCAAGGCCTGTAGCAAAGAGTATATATTTCATGTGCTCTCAGGTGGGTATGAGAATGTGTGGCCATGATAGGAATGTCATTTACATGGCTTTACATTCTGTAGTTAAAATCCCTAATGAAATTAATGTTGACCGTAAGGAATGGAAACATGATAGCCTTATGTTGGAGGTAGCTGAAGCAAATATGTTTGTCAGTAAACATTTAAGTATGTAAAGAATGCTTGGGAAATCCTCTGACAGTGGCCTTTGGTCTACATGAAGTTTGAACAGCGAGAGGGAAGTACACCATAAAATAAGGTTTCTCTGGAGAATATCATGTAATGGGAAAATAGACAGAAGTGACTGCTAACAACAGCATCATACTAGGAAAATACTATTTTGACACCAAAGCAAATTTTGCAGAACTTCCAAAAGCAAAGGAAGGAAAATTGAACATGGGAGTCAAAAAGGAAATAAAATACCAATATTTTAATAAAATACCAATATTTTCTTCCTTTGCTAAATAAGTCCCCCAAAACAAATAAAAAACATAGGCATGCTATGCATGCAAGAGTTAATTTTTTCGGATGAGTCCCATGATGGGATGGGACACTTTGAGTAACTGATGCATTAACTCTCAAAGTTTTGAACAAAAACATAATTGTTCAATATTTATCATATAAACTAAGGCAAAGGTATTTTGTGGTCTGTTGTCACTTTGTCTGAACAATTTCAGGCAGAAATGAACTGCAATGGTACAACATTTACTGTAGTCTCCTTCACAGCCATTGTTTGGTCTCACTATACGATGCACTCTCTCCCCCCTCTCTGTGGTGTGATGAGACCAAACAAGGGATGCACATGAGACTGCTAGCTTTAATGTAGGCCCTCTTAATCAGTGCTTTGGCAGGGGCATTTTAATTTTAACATTGAAAGCAAATAAAAACTCCATTTCCTATCCAGGAGACCTGAACCAAAGATATTTTGTGGTTTCCTAGTATTTCCAATCACTGAAAATGCATTGAACAAAGGGAAAAGATTCAGAGGCTTTCACCTAGGCATTTAAATTTTGGGATAGGAGGGATAGACTCTTGCCTTTCTGGACTTTGCCCTCTGTGTGTGGAATATGTGATAGAATGCAGGTTGCTAACAAGGAAATGTCATTTGTGTGGTGTAAAATTTAGGCTGTTTAGCAGAAAAAGTCAATTTATCAGGGAAAGCCTGAGCAATTGTGACAAGTATTTTTGTAACTGTTCTAGGAAAATATTGTTTAAACACAAAATGTAATTCATGGAGAACTTCTAAAGCAAAGAAATGGATATAATATGGCACTTGACCCAAAATTAACAATAATTTATGACCTTTTCGACCTTAGCTAAAAGAGCAACCCCATGGCAAAAAACAAGATTATCAATCACATTTGACTTATGAAAATGTTTTGTGCAAATTTGACCAGAGTCAGCAAACCTAACCCTTCCAAAACAATGCTCTAGTGATGACTTTGTATTAGGCCTTTTGCTGACAGCATGTGCATGGTAATTAAGCGAAAGAGTACAACACTTTAAATATGCTTTACTTTTAAATGGTTGAAAAATTCCCTGCCGACATAGAGCTATTTTTTAAAAAAACAAAAAACTATTGGTAACTCAAGTTTGTACTTATGCAGAATGTAACAACCTTGATGTTACAATATGATAGGTGCATGGGCAAGAGTACCATATAACCCCATACATTAATTATGCATTCAGACTAGTAGACTTTGTTTTTAAAGTTTTGTCATGAAAGACAACAAAGTGGAATTCATAATTAATATATGGGGACTTATAAGGTACTCTTTCCAGGTGCATGCAACAAACCCAATCTGATTAGTGAACGAAACATACTGTAATAATAATAATCTTTAATAATCTTTAATAATAATCTTTAATAATAATCTTTAATAATAATTATGCACAAGTTAACGATAGTGAGATACCAAAGAGGCTTACATGGCATAGGTCAAAGAGTTACAATCTGCCACTAAATTACAGTCATGAAATAAAAAGAAATATGCAGTTAATTATATATATATATATATCAAAATATACCAGAGGGATTAAACTTGGTGTCCGTGAAACAGTGCTCGATACAAATAGTAGAGCGGGTATGATGTGTGGTAGGCAGAAAAAAACAACTACATATACATCCCTACAGACCTGTTTCGTGGTTTCCCACTCATCAGGGGATTTTAATGGCAGAATAATGCAATACCATCGCTTATATACTATACTAATTGCTAATTAACATGGTTTATGCAGTGTGAAAAGTGTCAAGTCAGCTGTTGCGTAGAAGGGCTTTGTTTCTGTGTCGGCAGGAAGAGACAAGTTGGTTACGCTTGTTGAGTGTTGATAGGTCTGGATGGCAGATGATCAGGAATTTCTCTTTAAGGCAATTAGGTTGCATCGTTTGCTTGAGCTGTTGTAGGGCAGATGGGAAGAGAGGATGTGCCAGGTGATGGAATAATCGATGTTGTTGTCTTTAAGTGTCCAGATGTGTTTGCTGAGTTTGGTGGAGTTCCGGTGTTTTGCGTGTCAGAATGATGAGGTGTGGTTGTTGTAGCGGGACTTAAAGTCATTTGCAGTGAGTCCGACGTATGTGTCTGTCATGCTGTTGTCTTTACACATAATAGTAGCTTGGTATATGACAGACTGTTGGAGGCAGTTTCCATCTAGAGGGCATGAGTTTTTCTGTCAGCAGTTGCATTTCTTGTTGTTGTTTGCAGTAGAGGTGTCGGTTGTGGTGGTGGCGTTAGTCTTTACGTGGGAGGTGAGAATTCTCTTGTTGTGGTTGTCGATGATTTGTTTTGTATTGTCTATGCAGCTGTAGCTAATCTTGATTGTGTTTCTGTTGAAAATTTTGCAGAGCTTATGGTCTTTGGGGAAGTGTTTGTCAATCAGCGCGAAGAATTTACGTCCGATGTTAGTGCTGGTGTTCTTGGTGAAAGGTGGGTTGTGCCAGAGGATGTTGTTGCGTTGTCGGTTCTTGTGTCTTTGTGTGTGCATTGGCTCATAGTGGAGTGTGTAGCTGTAACCACTGCTGTTTAGTGCTTTCTGGTAGGCGGGAGCGGCTTGGTCGAAGGAGGTTTTGTCAGATGAGGGATGATAAGCGTCTGTTGATGCCGGCGGGGATGTTTTTCGTGGTGGACGGTGGATGGTTGCTTTCACAGTGAACATATTGTGGTGTGGTATTAGGTTTGGTATATGGCTGGTAGGTGTTTTGGCTGTGGTTAAATGTGATGTCCAGGAGGTTGATTACTTGTTTGTTAGCTTCTATAGTGATGCGGAGTCCGTTAGCATTAAAAATGCGGCATATCTCTTTTTTGATATTTTCAGTGTCTCTGGGTGTGGTGTCAGTTGTGGCAAGTCTGTTGCCTTGATATAGACCAATATTTATGTTGAGATTCTGTAGTTGGGACAGGAGGAGGTTTCCGACAAGTTCACAGGTTTCATCACTGTCGAAGCTGCCCATGGTTACGTCAAATGTAGTGTTGCCTTTTTTTTGCCAGGGTTGCTGTTTGTGGATTAAAATCGAGCTTTTGGCATGAATAATAATGTTCTTTTCGTCGGCGGTGATGTTGTCAAAATCAGATGCGAAGTTGGGTGCTTTGTTTAGGTCTAGGCTGATGGATGGGTAGAATTCTTCTATGTCAAAGCAGATGAAGTTAGAGTTGTATTTGTTGTCTATAGATCGAAACCAGTTGATAACTGCTGAGGTGTTTTTCCATAGGTTGTGGTTCCTTTTTCTCACAATGTTGGTGTTGATGTAGTCGAGGATCTGTTTGCTCACTTTGCCTATTTCGGGTTTTGTCGGGTTGATCAGGTGGCATGTCAGTGTTTGTTTGAGAAGTTCAGTTTGTGGTCTTTAAGTGATATGAATAAGTCTTTCTTGGCTGTAGTGTCTACCCTGTCATCGATTTTTAGTTTTGTCATGATGTCTTTGTTTGTTTTATGGATTGCTTGTGTTGTTGCAGGGAGGGCTTTCTTGAAGGATTTTGTTACATTTTCTTCTAAAAGATCGTTGTATTCTGCAGGCTCAAGTTTGTAGAAGTTAGTAGTTTTGTCTGCTGGGACCAGTAGCTTGGATTTGTTCTTGATGCGGTTGGTGTCTTCATTTAGTTTGTTGAGGAAAGGGCTGTTCACCTGCTTGAATTTTACAGACTGTATCATCTTGAGCATGTCGTCCTCAAAGTCCTTTAGTTCTTTGATCGATTTGAAGCTGGAGTTCTCTTTGGATGTAGGTGAGGTTTTAGGATGTATATCAAAAGTTAGATATATATCAAAATTAGATATATATCGTTAGATATATATAATATATAACAGTAAATACAAGATTTACCAAGAAAAGGCAAACAATTACAACATATAAAAATTCATCACTGCATATAAAGGAAAATAAACATAAATAATGGTAGTGTGCAGAAAGTAATAATAGTAAAAATAAATTTAAATTTGAGTTCAACTTAGTTTAAACTTGTAATGATTGAAAATTATCTCTCAGTTTACATTTATAACTAGAAAGAGTAAGTGAATTACGAAGTGAGAGAGGAATGTCATTCCAAATTTGAGGAATCTGTACCCGAAGAGAGAAAGAATATTTGTGAGTATGAAGATGTCAGTTATCTTTTTGCCTAGTGAGATACTGATGACAGTCAGAGTGAAGAATAAAAAGAGATGAAAGAGGAGAAGGCAAGAGCTTCTGCATGTGAAGGAAAACAAAGCAAGAAACTTGGTACTTACAAATATTAATTGGCACAAGCAACATTCACTGTCTGACAATTATGACAATCTTACTTTTTCTTTCCAAAAACAACATAAACTAAGAAATCTTCTAAGAAATCATCTCCTGGTCATCAATGATGCACACAGATGATCACTTAATATCCAAGTAGTAATTTTTCATGGGAAAACTCCTTCTGACCAGAACTTAAACGAATACTTACCCTGAACGTAAAGCCAGCTTAATGAAACCTTTTCTGTCTTTCAGCGTTAGCTTAAAATTGTCCGGCCTTGCTTCTAACGATTCCGCTGCACCCCCTATTACAATGGCGACTGAATGACCTGGGCCCATCTTTTGCAGTATGTATTCTATACTGTCTTTATCCACTGAACAAACACCAAAGGCCATGCAATAGTCTCTACTAAAAGGGAACCTAAAGTTTATCGAAAGTGTCAATAGATGTGGATTGATCCCTGGAAAATTTTCTGAAAAGCCTGTTGCTTCTCCGCAGAAATTACCAAGTGCACCAAGACCAATAATTCCATGAGGGTGATAGCCAAATATATAGTTTCCTTCAGGGTCAAGATCTGCAGTCTTCACCAAACTGATAGGAAAGTATTCACAAAAATATTTCCACATTTTCCACTTTCGAGCAACTTGTATTGTGCGTCCTCCGCGACTTGGGGTCTGAATGTTTAAGATGAAAGCCCAACCAATGTACACAACAGCAACAAAAGTAGTGTAGGGGATAAATAGAAGAACCACAAGTAGAACAGTCCCAAATATATGACCAAATAGAAACATATACACTTGAATCATCACCACAAGAGTCTGGATCCGTCTCTTGATCGGAATTTTCAAGGGAGCCCACTCGACCATTTTTAATAAAATAACGAAAAGTTGTTTCTGTCAGTACCTACTTTTTCTCTCACGGTTATTATAACAGGAAGCGGGGTGGGGTGGGGTGGCGTACGAGTTGATTCACTGGTGTATGGTAAGGAGGATTGACGGTGTAACTTCTCTTAAAACGGCAAGCAGCGTTGGCGTAGTGGTGAGAGCGCTCGCCTTCCACCAATGTGTCCCGGGTTCGATTCCCGGACCCGGCGTCATAAGTGAATCGAGTTTGTTGGTTCTCTTCTCTGCTCCGAGAGGTTTTTCTCCGTGTACTCCGGTTTTCCCCTCCCCTCAAAAAGCATCATCATTTGAATTTATTTAGATTTACACACGACCCTACAAGCTGTCAGCTTTAAACATTATCGTGTCTAAATAAAGGTATTATTATTATTATTATTATTATTATTATTATTATTATTATTATTATTATTATTATTATTATTATTATTATTATTACTTAACGTGTCCAACTTATCTAACTAACGGCGTAATTTCTTGCAGTAGGTAATATATAACTGTAGGATAATGGCGTAATAACTTTCAGTCGGTAATCATACAGTAGGATTTTACGCCTTTAGCGGCGTAAAAATACAGTATGTGCTGACCAAGTTACTGGCGTATAAAAATCTTATAGTATATATTTAGACTGCGATAATCTCATAAGTCGCCCTGCTTATTATAAGGTTAAGCAGTGCACGTTGTCGATGAATAATTCAAATTCATGACATGACACTTTCCCGACCGAAAATAAACAAGGAAAATGTCGCAGCATGCTTTTAGATGAAATATCACATTTGGTGGGAAGATGAAACCGACCCAAGGGGTCCCTAAATCTTAGATTTTCTTGAGGTTCAGGTGTTTGAGATTTTATTTAGGGACTTCTATTCCGCAAAGTACAGATTTTCATTTCGCTTCATTATGCAAATTGTAGTGAGCTGTTAATTTGTGTCAAGGAAGGAATGCGTGGACAGGTAGATTCGGGGAATGGGTCCAAAGCTAGTATTTCATTTCCTCATCTCGTGACACTCAGGAGGTTCGGTCTCTTTACATGTAGTTTCATCCGCGCGTTGGAACAAGTCTGTTGCATTTTCTGGAGGTTACCAAGAAGAATGGATCATCATATGATAATTGGATTTCTTTTGCTGGTGTTCGCGTGCAGCGCTTTAGGGAATACAGAAGAGTTCCATGTTTCTTCTCCAGAGTTGGTTGAGGAGATCAACTCATTAAATGTGGGGTAAGTGTTATGATTTCTGCCTGGTCAGTCATCTTAATATAATTGTGTAACATATTCAGTGAAAAAGCAGTCAACAGGAAAGGAAAAGATTCATTTACTGCTGAAGGGAAAGCAACAACAGAAAACAGAAAATTGGTTGGTTAACATCAATAGGATGTCCTGATAACCATAGCAGCGGCTATTTTGCGTCGAGATAAGAGAAAAATTTTACAACACAATTCAGTTTTGGTTTTGACTTCAACTTGGCAGATTTAGGGTTAATAACACTTCTATGCTGAAGTTCTCTTTCAGAAGTGGTTATTGTCAGCTGGTTGGGTGATTCTTATATATTTTCTTTCGCATACAAATTTGGTCTTAACGGTTGTGGACATTATTTTTGTGATCTAGTATGGTTTGGGGTTTCTCCTCAAGTACAGGGGGCCCATACAATCTGTTTGTGTAGCCGACTGTTGTTTTATAGTGAATGTACCAGATTTACCGTTTGCCTGCACCCATAGTGATATATTACTGACTATAATGTACATAAATCATTGATAAATAAACATTGAATTACTTTACCTGTGGTGTATAGTCGCCCTTTTGCCTCAAAAATGTTTTTTGAGCGATTTTGAAGAAGTATCTGAGTTCGTCATTAATGTAATGCATAAAAGAAAGACAAGGGTGGAAGCCTTGTTTTGAAAGGGTTCAAGCACCCGAGCGATTTTCCCCCCAAAAATCACATCGCTCTGCTTTCAAACTTTGCAGCATTAAGGTCAAAATATGCACGATTCTCCTCCTACCTTCCAATCAAATATCCATCCAAATCGACCCGAGCTAGCCATCAAAGAAAATCAAAATCGCACAGTATTTGAGCGTATGGGATGCGGAGCAAGATTCTCATGTGCCAGCCAGAAACCGTCACGTGGTTGCCCTTTTCTGATTGAGCAATTCAAAATAACGTCATACATACATACATACATACATACATATGTTAATCGACCACTCCCCATGGGGGCTTTTCAGGGCCAATTCCCACCCAGCAACCACCCCAGGGGAGGACATCCATCACACAGTAATCTCGTGCGTGGGAAATTAACGTCTCCTACCCCTAACCCTGCAGGAGACGGGACCTCCATTTATTCGTCCCATCCGAGAAGACTAGAGTATCTAACCATTTCTTGATAGAGAAAGGTAGCATATTCTTGGTCCGGCCAGGGCTCGAACCCACGACCTCCCGCACAACAGTCCAGCGCTCTATCTATGTCGTTCAATCAGAGAAGGGCAATCAGTGTAACGGTTTCTGGCTGGCACTTGAGAATCTTGCTACGCATCTCAGACGCTCAAATACTGTGGGATTTTGATTTTCTTCGAGGGCTAGCTCCGGTCCGTTTGGATGCATTTTCGATTGGAAGGTAGGAGGAGAATCGTGCATCTTTTGACCATAATGCTGCGAAGTTTGAAAGCAGAATGATGCAATTTTCAGGGGGAAAATCACTTGGGCGCTTGAACCCTTTCAAAACAAGGCTTCCACCCCTGTCTTTCTTTTATGCATTACATTAACGATGAACTCAGACTTCTTCAAAATCGCTCAAAAAACATTTTTGAGGCAATTAAAGGACGACTATACACCACAGGTAAAGTAATTCAACGTTTATTTATCAATGATTTATGTACATAGTCAGCAATATATCACTATAGGTGAGGCAAATGGTAAATCTGGTACATTCACTATAAAACAGCAATCGGCTACACAAACAGATTGTATGGGCCCCCTGTGGTTTCTCTTATGATTGGGTTGACTCAATCTTGATCAAGGGAAATGTAAAGAAAAAAACCTGGTGAATTTCCAGCAAACTTGGCTAAACACCTAATCAATGATATGAATGCCTTATTTTTTATTCCCATTATTTTTTATTATCAAAACTTCTCTTCTCTTTTTCTTATCTGCATATAGTTATCTCAACTAGCTTCGCTATCCATCTTTCTCTTTCTTGTCTTCAGCAAGGCTATGTGTGTCCATCACATGACATGACATGAACTGCTTCACTTTGTGTAGTTTGCTGTATTATATTGCACTTGTAACAATTGACCTTATTTGGTATCCCTGATTTCTTTTCAGGCTCAATTGATATTACACACTTTGTCTTTTCTTAGAAAATCATAGTTGTGGACCAAGAATCTTTCAGTTACTTTACTGAACTGTGATTTGTATGTACCATGCCTTATTTAGAAGACCTGAATTAGGATTTGCCTCTAAGGGAAAATATGTTAAGGCCAATTATGTATGATATGAATGAGTGACAAGATGGTTGCAGACTTTCAAGGTCTGTAAGAATGAGATCTGTTTGTAGTACCTTGAGCTGACCATTTTGTATCCAGTTGGCAGGCTACTGTTTATAAGCAGTTTGCAGAAATGAACTTGAAGGAAGCAAAGCAAATGCTAGGGAGTTATGGTGCATGGCCCAAGGACTCTCCTCCTAAGGTTATCAAACAAGACATTGTCAGTGATATTCCTGGAAGCTTTGATGCTCGTACAAAATGGCCTGGCTCCATTCACCCAATTAGAAATCAGGTAGCTAGAAGACTCAGTAAAAGTGTTTTTGAATGGACATAAGAAAAATGTATGTGAATGGAATTTAATATATATATACAATATACCGGTACTATGACTCTTTAATTGCAATTACTTACAAAACTCTTGATACTTATAAATTTCACTTTCATATTCAACTAAACAGGAGCACTGTGGAAGTTGTTGGGCATTTGGAGCTTCAGGTGGGTCTTACATAACAATAAATCTAGTTATGATAACCTGACATTTAAATCCACTGTTAGACCAGTTGGAGTTTCAGTCCATATGATTCCCTTGCTTCCCATTTTGATTTTGAATGGCATAAGAATACTTTGTATGATTAGGTGTATTTACTGGTCAAATTTTACATGCATCAGACATAAGGGTATGGACACTCTTGTATCATAAATCTTATTACTCAATTCTTTTTATATAATATCATGTGTGATATTTGTTTTGGTAATAAATGTGTTATGAAATTGAATTTACTACTTTAGGGAAAGATCTTGGTACGTACCCTAAACTATTCATTCGTACCCTAAACTGTATAGTATTTTTTTACATGATGTTTTTGCTCTGTAGAAGCATTGTCTGACAGGTTTGCTATTGCCAGTGGTAATAAAATTGATGTGGTGTTGTCAGCACAACAGCTGGTTGACTGTGATACAGATAACTCCGGTTGTTCAGGTGGCTATCCAATAAGAGCATGGCAGTATATGAATGAAGTTGGGTAAGTGTAACTCAGTAATTATGATACCACATTTGATGATTGTTGCAAAAAGCAAGACCCCCCTAAAGCTAAGACCCAAGACCAATTACACAAGCTCTTTTTAAAGTTGGCATGTTAGTTTGGAAATGAGAGGTCTTTGTTTGAGGCCTTCATTTTTGGGTATTTGTTTTGAGGTCTGGGTTTTTAAGTCTTTGTTTTCAGAACACTAAGTTTGTTTTGCTTAATTATAATCTTTTGTCAAAATCACTCCCTGAAAGCTTGGGGAAGCAATGCATTATTTATTTTAGGGGAGTTTGGATTAATGCAAGAATTGTGTATGCATGCATAGGCAGAATATTATTTACAATCATTGTAATTAACATGCCAACAAGATTGTTGTTGGCAGTGCACATATCACAGGTTGTGTGTCAGGTTCACAACCTGTATGAATTATAGCTTACTAGCTCAGCGGGATCGAGTTGTCATTCTCTGTAGTTTATGCACACTGGTATTCAAGCTCAAATATAAGGATGCAGAGATAGGTATTTTAGTTTTTGCTGGATCTTCTAGAGGAATAATGAAAACTTAGTGATTTCTTTGATGGTACTTGTCATGTTCAGCACAGCAGACACAGGGTGCAGCGTAATTGGGTTTGCCAGGTCAACCACAGTGAAGTGCAGGACAGACAGCAGATTCTTACACAAATTATTGGACTAAATTATGTAATCAGGCTAGCCAACTTGTTGCAACACTTGTGGTGAAAACTAAAAATGAATGCACGATTTGTCTACGCTAAGAAAATGAGCTAAATTACAAATCTGATGACAGCAAACACAACTAAAAACTAATAGAAACTTAACGATCATGACTTGCATCTGAATTCTTGACTCCGGGGATGAGAAAACTCCAAGTTGTGAAAAAACTCTGTAAGAATCCCATAACACTCCTCTTTGCTCCAGGGAAAACTCCTTAAAACTAAAATGTTCGCATGAAAAAAGGCCTAATATACTTCTACGACGTAAAGGAAACTAAGCTGAAACAACTCTTTGTGTGCCTAGCCAAAAAAGGATATTTTATAATCGTGCAATCAAAACGAAACAAGGCTACATTTAAGGAAACAAAAAGTCATATAATGTTCTAAAGTGTTCTTTGTACAGCAACGTGACAGTACTACCACATAGTATACATTCAACTCAGTGTCTGTGTCAGGAATGTGATATTTTTGTTGGGTTATAATTTACATACAAGGTGTAAAGTTTGGTTCGAATAATCGGTACGTATCAGTGTTTCTTGAATATATTAAAACCATTCCCACCAATCTAATCTTACTTTAAACATATTTAATATAACAGCTCTTGAAGAGCCACAGTCCATGGCACTGCCAAGTGAGAACAGTTGCCAACTGATTCATATTTCCAAAAGTTTCATTTTTTGAAAATGCCCATGTTGATTGACTTTTTTCTCTATTAGAAGGGATTTCAAACAAAACTTGAGTTCTTTGGATGAAAAAAGTTTTGACATCTTTTTTCTTTGGGGTCCATAAAATGTAATGCTCAGGAAGGATTAAATGTGTTGAGAATGTGATCTTTGCAAATTAAGAGGAAAATGTTTGGTTTGTAAGTTTGCGCAAGTGCTCAGTAATCAATCAAGGAACTTGTAATATTTTTCAACTAATAAAGTGTTTAATGTAGGCAAGATAATTGAGGCATGACTTCAAAAAAACATAATTAAAAAAGGAAAATAGAGTCAAGCTTTTAAATGTAGTTTATGAACAAGGATTCACATGATTTATTTTGGGCAATTACAATTGGTCAGTTCAAAATTCAGACTGCAGACTGCAGACTGGGTACAATTAATGCTGACTATAGGTACAAGTGCAGACTGCAGACTTCAGAGTGGTACATTGTGTCATCTTATAACTTTCCAAAAAACATGCAATTGCTTTTCTGAGATCATCTTTCAGAATCATTTCACTCGTGTGGAATATTTCTAGCCTGCTTCTTTGTATATTTCTTTGGTAAAATTCAATAGTAGCTCCCCATAAAACCTGTCAGCAGACAGTTCACCAACAGTTCTCCGACAGTATACCAACAGATTATTTTTTAATAGACTTACAAACTCATGCAAATAACCTGGTTTAAATAAAATACCGGTAAACACTTGTCCTTCAATCCTTTAATCCACTTGTACGATAACCCATTCTGTATTCCTTGATCAAAAACACTCACATAAGGTCGGCTTAGATCACAACTCCGAAATCGCCCAACAGTGCATTGCGAGCTTTTTTATTTTGTTTGTCATGTATGTTTACTCAATGCAATGTGCACCCTGATTCTCACATCATTGTTACCTCAATTTAATTGCAGGTTTAAAAAAACATACTTAAATGCATTGGTTAAAAAACTTTTACGTTATTTGGTGGCTCCTAAAGGAGCTGTTTGTGTGTTGAATACCCACAAGTATCCATAGTTCACAGGATAGAGCTCCACGGCATGCCGCAACATATTTTCAAAGCGGTCTCCCGCAAACAGTCGCTGCCAGTTAAACTCATCCAGGTAGCCAGGAAGTTTGTCCTTAAAGGTGCCTATTGTGCTTTTCAGCTTTCTTTTCACCTGTCCCCACAGTCCTTCTATGGTGAGTTTCATCAGGAATGATACCAACTTACCAACAGTCAGCCGACAAACGGCCAACTGTCAGCCGACACTTTTACCTGAGAACTGCTGAAACTGTTGGTAAACAGTCGGTCGACTGTTGGCCGTTTGTCGGCCAGCTGTTCATCGTCTATCGGCTGTTTGTCAGTCGACTGTTGGCCATTTGTCGGTCAACTGTCGGCCGTTTGTCGGTTGACTGTTGGCCGTTTGTCGGTCGACTGTTGGCCAACAGTCAAGCAACAGGTTTTTTGGGGAGCTATATTATTGAATTTTACCATTTCTTTTTAACAAAGCAGCTATTGTGTTTGGTTTTAAGCAAAGTGGCCGCAATAATATAATAATAATAATAGTTTAATAGTTGTAGTGTGCAAATTCCATTTACATGTGATCAAATGCGCAATTACTCTTACCGGTAAACAGAATTTTAAGCCTTTTTGTAGTCTTCTCACTTTTTGTGCATGATCTCCATAACTAGTGGAACAATTGATAGCTTTTGCAGGTGGTCTGTGCTGACTTCAGCTTTTTAACTGAATAAGTATGTGTTCTTTTGTTGACAAAAAATGCAGAGCAAGACTAAAACTCTTCCTTTCACTTGATATATTCTCAATGTTTAGGGGTGCACACACACTGATTTTCACCTATTGATATTTGCTTAGTCTCCAAACTAAAACCACCCAAAAAGTAAATCTTGGATCATTGCACATGTCGGAAACTGTAACATTCTTTAAAATGGTCCAAAACTAAATAAGTATGCTGACTGTATTATTCCCCTAAACAAGTATAGCACAAGCAAGCAAGGTGACTGATGTGCAAAGATGGTCGTGTGCTGTTACTTTTCCTCTATATTGTATTGCAAGTTGCTAATTTTAAATGCAGACAAGGCTCAGACACAAAGTGAGTAGAGAGAAGACTGTGAAGGCTTGAAACGATTGTGGCCTGGATGCTTTGTTAAAAACAAAAGGAACATAGTACAAAAACATAGTTTAAATTCTCAGTCTGCATTTTGTACCAAGTCTGCATTTGTGCCCAGTCTGCAGTCTGCAGTCTGCATTTTGTACCAAGTCTGCATTTGTGCCCAGTCTGCAGTCTGCAGTCTGCAGTCTGCATTTTGTACTGACCAAATTTACAATGAATCAGCTAGTGGTCCTCAATTTTCAAAGGCTGCAAATCTTATAATTATAAGCCTTCGGGCCTATACATTTACTTATGTGGTAACATTTGGATAGCCTTTAGGAACGAAAGAGAGACATTTCTCAGTTGAAGGCAAAAATTTTCCTTCATAAGTGGAACAATGTCCAGTCACATATTACTACTGTGTCGCTCACTTTTTGTATCCATGGATTATACTATTGTCATTGCATTTTTTATCCTTTATAGTGTTTGAAATGTTTTTCTATAAAAACAATTAACAACAAAAAAACAAGTAAAAGAACAAATTTGAAGTTGCAAAGCATGTGAGATTATCTTTCTGTTTCTTTATATCCAGCCTCCTGACTGTAGAATGTTATGGTCCATATGTGGCACAGGATCAAAATTGCAAGTTCAATAGCACGCTTAAACAATGTCCCAGCGGTCAGGGTGTGTTTCAAGTTTACAAGGCAGCCAATGCATATGCTGTTCAAAGAGAAGTACGTTATACATTTAACAAAGATAAGTTTGGTGCCATTTTTGTGAACATGTAGTATCACTTTAATTAATACATAAAGCAGTTTTTGTTTTGAGACTGCCTCAGACTGTTAAAGTATGCACGCTGCAACCTCTGTAAATCTCAAGTGATTTATTTATGACCAAATAAGGAATATACGTAAAGTGACAAGTGACGTAACTTAGTGTAACATCTCCCTTCTTTTGGAGTAAGCTAACTTCCGAACGAAAACTCTATAACATAAATCAAACGTGACTGTCCAGGTCGAAAAAGAGTTTACTAAAATAAAAATTAAAAACAAAACAAAAACAAATGGAACTTGGTACAGGACTGTAAGTCAGGAGTCCTTATTAAAGTTGTTGCCCGATAGTCAGTTTCCGATAGTCAGAGTTCTCTTGAGCTGTAGTCTAGTTTCATATGATAAACTACGCAACAAAGTCATTGAACCTCGAGGGTGGCTTTACAACTCGGGTACGCGTTTTCTTCAAAGGAAGAGTTTGTGATGTCATTGTTGGTTTCGGATCATGATTAGCTGACTTGACATCTTGCTTTGAAGGCTGGTTTACACTCTTTGTAAGCTGGCTATCACTGCTTTCAACTGGTTTGGGTTGTTCAGTAGGTCGTGTAGCTGGCTTCAGAAATTCCCGATTTCGACGGAATACTTGGTTGTCTGAACTAGTTTTTACTACATAGGACCTGTCTGATAGCTTCTTGATACAGGTACCTGATTTCCAGCTTTGATTCTTCTGAAGAGGTGCCACTTTTACCTCTTGCCCAACATGTAATTCTGGTAGGGAGCGTGATGTGCGATCATGGTACCACTTGGCCTTTTGCCTAAAGAATTTTAGCTTTGCATTCACATTTTCGGGAATCTTAGGGAGCAGTAAGTTAGAAGCTGTAGGTAGTAAGGTTCTAGTGCGTCTAGACATCAATCTCTGTGCAGGGCTACTTTCCATGAACTCTGTTGGTGTGTTGCGTTGGTCCAATAGGGCTAACCACGGGTCTTTGTTGTCTTTGAGAGCTTTTCTGAACAAAGACTTGCCAATTTTCACAGCAGGCTCTGCCTTTCCGTTGGATTTGTGATGATGTGGTGAAGACGACACGTGAGTGAACCCCCAATCAACTGAAAACTGATGGAACTCGTGGCTTGTAAACTGAGGAGCGTTGTCAGTAGTTAGAGTATCTGGAAGGCCATCTCGGCTGAATTGTTCCTTAAAGAATTTAATCACGGAACCGGAAGTGTTTTCCTCCAATTCCTGTACTTCTAGGAAATCTGAGTAGTAGTCAACGAACACTATATATTCTTTGCCATAAAGTTTGAACTGGTCAGCATCTACTCGACTCCACGGGCGGTCAGGAAGCTCATGGCTTTGCATTGCAAGCTTCTGATACTTGACCTGAAATTCTTTGCAAATTGAACATTGTTTGATTAGGTCACTCACTTCTGCATTCATACCAGGCCAGAATACAGCGTCTCTAGCTTTGCGCAGGCAAGCTTCTACTCCTAAATGACTGGAATGATTTGACTTCAGGTCTCAGTAACTTAGGGATGACTACTCTTGAGCCTTTGAAAAGAACACCATTGTGAACTGATAGCTCCTCGCGGTAAGACTAATACTCCCGGATCTGGGTTGGTACCTGATCTTTCTGCATTGGCCATCCGGTCAGAATTGGGGTTTTTAGTGTCTGCAGAGTGTCATCATGACTTGTGCCACGTTGCAATTGATCCAGTCGTTCTGGCGTGACCTTCAGGGTTTGCAACAATTCCTTTTTTGTTCAGCTATTTAACAACAACAAAATCAAATGTTTGCTTTTGTTTTGCTGATGGAGAAATGGAGAAATGGAGAAATTTCCCGCTCTTTTTGGTTTTTATCTTTTTTCACACGCACGCACAAATGACAACTTTGTCCGCAACGGACGCGGGTCCTTTCGTTTCAAAAAAATTTGGCAAAATCGGTCAGCCCCACCCAGGCACACCGGCGTCTTTGATGATTTTTAGAATTTTGAAACTCTTCGAAGATTTACCTCTGTTCCGTTTTAAAATTTCACGGAAAGTCAAATTGTAAGTGAATGCAAATATGTGTTTTGGAGTTGTCAGTCTGCTTGTTTGTTTTCTGTAATGGCGTGTGTAAATCGGTTTTTCTTCCACCGAAAAGCTGAAGTCAATGAGACTCTTTCTACCTAGACACAAGGAGATTTAATGCGACTTTTATTCATCGAATTCCTGCGTTTCTGCCGTGAAATTTACGACGAAAGTGTATTTTAGGATTTTGAACTGTTGCTGAATAAAATTCTTTCTTAGCTTAAACTTATAAATTCGTTTGTATCTGGCGCATGTCAAACCCATTTGCAGCTTAAAGGTCAAACAGGGATTGTCACTCACTAAATCGGCTTGCCATTAAGTCTTATGATCGCCTTCGTATGAAATTGTTTTTTTTGTTGTTTTCGTTTCACTAGTCCGCGTTTTACTAGTCCTCGTTTTTACTAGTCCTCGTTTTACTAGTCCGCGCTTTACTATTCTGCGTTTTACTAGTCCAGTCCAGTCCAGTCCTCGAAATACCATATGCCTTTATTTATGACCAAATAAGGAATACGCGTAAAGTGACAAGTGACGTAACTTATTGTAACACAGACACAAATGTAAGCCAAATAGCCAGTGCAATATTCCATTATTTTCAAAAGATTTCCAAACAGACTTGCAGAATAAGCCTTGTCGAAACTGTCTAGATAAAATTGTAAATCTGCCCATTGAATGTTCAATTATTAAGGTGTTAACAAACTCTCTACTTGCCTTTAAGGTTGAAGCCATCCAGTCTGAAATCATGACAAATGGGCCTGTTGAAGGTAATTAAAAACTGCATGTAGTTTTCTTTAATGATATCTGAAAAGGTTCGTATATCTAAAATAATTATTTAAAGAGATAAAACCTTCTGTCAAAATTGATGTAACGTTCAAAGGTTACTAGTATGGCGGAGAAGACAATTCGAACGCACAATATAAATCACGGTTTAATTAAATGAGGTACATAATCAAAATTGCAAACGAAAATAAAGAGATCGGTGGGAAATCACAGATGAAATGGGCGAAGTATAGATTAAGGATAGGGTAGTTAGGATGGGTGGTTGTAGCTGAATTTGTGTTACTGAATTTATGTGGCTGAATTTGTATGGCTCGAACTAAAAGAAAATGCAGTAAAAACTAAACTAAGAAAATATTCCTGAGAAATGTAACACTAGCCTAATTAACAATGAAGCAATTATAAAGTGAACTGAACGCGAGATAAACCAATGTATGTGAAAAAAAAAAAAAAAAAGGAATTATCTTTAATTTAAAATAAAGAAAAACTCACCTTGGTCTAGCTGCTAATGATTGTAGGTAACTCGCTGATAACACTAGATGAATTTGTGAATAGCAGACAAAATCGGTAGTGTCGACAGCAACTTGTAGCAATGAAGTATGAAATATAATATCTAGTGCATGTGCTTAAATAAAACTAATTGAAATAAAAAACTGATAATAAGTAATAATCATTAACCAATGAAGAAATAATAGACCGGTACAAACACAACAGAAATGTACACGAGCTTCTCGTTTCAAAACTAACAATTTCATTGTATAGAATGAGTTCTCTGTTCTAGTCTCTCAGTTCCCATTAAGGCAATCAGCTATTCTATTAACTGGTATTTGGCTTTACTCTTCGTTACAGCATCTTTCTCAGTCTACTCAGACTTTTACTCTTACAAGTCCGGTGTTTATATACACACCTCTGGTACTCTAGTTGGTGGTCATGCGATCAAGATGCTGGGGTTTGTTCTTTTTCTGTTGTGTACAACTTGTTTGCTATAGACAGACAGACAGACATCTATATTTATACAGGATAGCCCCTTCAGTGTAGTAAACACTGGTATCAACGGGGGTCCTGTTACCCACCCAACCCACCCCAGGGGAGGACATCCATCACACAGTAATCTCGTGCGTGGGAAATTAACGTCTCCTGCCCCTAACCCTGCAGGAGACGGGACCTCCATTTATTCGTCCCTATCCGAGAAGACTAGAATATCTAACCATTTCTTGATGTTAAAGAAAGGAAGCATATTCTTCTCAGTTAATTTTAAGACCCTGAGTGTTGGTCCGGCCGGTATTGAACTCTCGACCTCCCGCACAGCAGTCCGGCGCTCTCCCAATTGAGCTAACCAGGCGGCGGTCTGAGCTAACCAGGCGGCTATATTTTACTTGTTTCTCAGGACTCTGTTTAAAATAAGCTGTAGATGTATTACAACATTTTTATCACTTCCAATCCACTTTTTATTTTTGCAAACTATTGTATTCCTATTGCAAACCGTTGTCTCCAATTTGCTTTTCCGTATCCTCCCTTTCAGGATTGTCTGGCTGTTTCCTTAGGGCCTTTTTTTTTACGTTTTACAAACTCCAGTCTTGTTTTGTTGATTGATTTTATTTTTAGTTGTTCAGTGCTAAAATTGTGTGATCCACCTCTCTCTGTTGTTAAAAAGAAGGAAAGAATTGATGCAAGACATTCTAAAGGGCCAGCAATTTTGATCTGATTGTCATCTGTTCCTGGATGACAAATACATTTCTGGTGTCCCTGACATCATACCTACTTCAATGGTGTATATCACTTTTGTAGACCAGTTTTCTGATTTCGACTTCTAGCTTCATTTTTCAGTAGTGTAAACAATTCCAATTTTAACATAATGTACGTAATTCCAACAATATAATTTTTATTCCTTCACAGATGGGGTCGGTCTGCAGAAGGTGTTGATTACTGGGTAGGAGTGTTTATTCCCGGTTTTCTTTTCCCCCTTAATTAACAGCCAACAATGTCCTTTTAACGCTAACACTGTTCGCAAACAACATAGAACAGGTACTTATAGGATTTTTACTTGCATGTTTAATGCGATCATAAATTATAGTGGACAGTTTTTCTATTTCTGTCCCATGTATGAATGTGGCGTACGTTACTTTTATCTTTTCTTCTTACTGCACAATTGGCCAAAACTTCCAAATCCATTTCATATCCTCATGAGCTCAGGGTGGTGCATTGAAAGTCTTTCAATTCACATTCTGTGGTCACCAATATGACCATTATAAGGCCCATTCCCGGTTAGGGAATCTTTCATCCCGCTATTTTGCCACAGGTATCCCACTTACTATTTTGAAATATTTGGCCTCTTCTCTTCGCTTTGAATCATTCAAGACGGAAGCATGATCACTAAACCAGTTTCTATGGCCTCAAATAGTCTCTAGAGCTCAAAATGTAGCAAAAGTGAGTTTGTTCTAATTCTTTTTATCACTTCCTTGCTTTACGCTGAGATTAGGCAGTTTTTTGGTAGTTAACGAACCCTACGCAATTTTTCGAAGTATTAAAAAGGCCCACCATATAGTGCTGATTCACTAAGCGCTCAAATTTTGAGTTAGGAATGCCTGTGATAGCACACAATATGGTGCTTTTTGTGGATAATGATAAACCATTTCACAGTAAGATTATGAGCTCGCGATTTCTATCTCGTGGTCGTTGACGAGGGTGCATGAAGCCAGAATCAACCACAGGCGTCCCATACAATCTGCTTGTGTAGCCGACTGTTGTTTTATAGTGAATGTACCAGATTTACCGTTTGCCTCACCTATAGTGATATATTGCTGACTATGTATTTAAATCAATGATAAATAAACGTTGAATTACTTTACCTGTGGTGTATAGTCGTCCTTTTGCCTCAAAAATGTTTCTTTTTTTTTGAGCGATTTTGAATAAGTTTGATTTCGTCGTTAATGTAACGTTTAAAAGAAAGATAAGGGTGGAAGCCTTGTTTTGAAAGGGTTCAAGCGCCCGAGCGATTTATCCCCCCGAAAATCGCATCGCTCTGCTTTCAAACTTCGCAGCATTATGGTCAAAAGATGCACGATTCTCCTCCTACCTTCCAATCNGAGCAACATAGCGCTAACTCGCCGAAAACGCTTCAAAATGGCCTGAGACGCTCGGAATTAACAAAGAAAACGACAAGGCAATAAGGTAAGCCCATTTTACCTCAAAACAAGACATTTTTTTCTCTCTTTTAAGGCAAACCGATAACATCCCGTACAAACCGTTATAAATATAAAACGTTACGCAACACGGTAAGAGTCACGTCCGCTTTTCTAGTAGTGAGCTTGGGCTGCCTGTGGGTGAAGCAAACGGTGAATCAGGTACATTCACTATAAAATAACAATCGGCTACACAAACAGATTGTATGGGCCCCCCTGTGAATCAACTGTCACTCATGGACATCAACAGCGAATAATCTAATGGTTTCAATATAAATCTACCAGTCGTTTTAAACTCAGCAACAAGACAAGTTCATGCTTTTGTTTTATTTTGCTTGCCACTACATGCTGTAAGACTACTCACTTCACTCGCTATCTAAGCAATAGAAGACATTTTCCGGGCTCTAAAACGTGATAAAGCCATGCGCCTTTGGCTCGTGATTTGTAAGCTTTCCTGGTATTATCCTAGCATCCCAAATGGCCTTACCACGTTATAGAGCCCGGAAAAAATGCGTTTTATTGCTGTTATGACATAATTAGTTACATATGGGCTCTATGACCTGATAAAGCATCTGATTGGAAACTGAATTGATCGATCAGACGGTGCGTACTATGTTCATTATAAACACGGAATAGACAGCAAGTAGAGCGGGCAATCCAATTGCAGCTTTTATGTTGTGGCGCAAGAAGATTTTTGGTAACAAGATATGTTGAAGAGGGTGCAGAACAAAAAATGTTCGATGTCAGGTATTTATTATTAGTATTGCGCGCCGATTATTAACACCTTTTATAGATTCTTCAAAAGACTCACTTGTGCTAGTGCCTGGACTGGACCGATTACGAGGCTTGCCAACTAACAACGCTTTTTAAAGTGTCACACGGCCAACAGGGTTTTTATTGTTTTGGTATCTCATTAACCTTTAATAAAGTATTCTAAAAAAAAAATTGGATTCTGACGCCTCTTCACGCTAAAATCGAGTTTTAAAGTTCCCGCTACGGCCACGCCCAATGAAGTTGACCGCGTAAGGAAAGATTGGTGATGAGTGACGTCACTCCAGGAGCGTCTCGAGCGTCATGTTGTTACTTTGCTTGACAAACGCAGTACTTTTACAACACATCTATCGGGAATATTTATGTCGCCGAAAACTCTTTACCTTACTGAAAAAAACAGTGAAATGAACCACTGGCGGGATTTGGCGCGTTCCTGACTTGACGTCACGTGGTGTATAGTCGTCCTTTTGCCTCAAAAATGTTTCTTTTTTTTTGAGCGATTTTGAATAAGTTTGATTTCGTCGTTAATGTAACGTTTAAAAGAAAGATAAGGGTGGAAGCCTTGTTTTGAAAGGGTTCAAGCGCCCGAGCGATTTATCCCCCCGAAAATCGCATCGCTCTGCTTTCAAACTTCGCAGCATTATGGTCAAAAGATGCACGATTCTCCTCCTACCTTCCAATCTAAAATCCATCCAAACGGACCGGAGCTAGCCCCTCGAAGAAAATCAAAATCCCACAGTATTTGAGCGTCTGGGATGCGTAGCAAGATTCTCATGTGCCAGCCAGAAACGGTCACGCCGATTGCCCTTTTCTGATTGGACGACGTTAAACGATGACCAATTCGAAATATTTAACGAGGGTGGGGAACCATTGGCGTTTAGTCATCGTTTAACGTCATCCGCTCAGAAAAGGGCAATCAGCGTGACCGTTTCTGGCTGGCATATGAGAATCTTGGTGCGCATCCCAGACGCTCAAATACTGTGGGATTTTGATTTTCTTCAAGGGCTAGCTCCGGTCCGTTTGGATGGATTTTCGATTGGAAGGTACGAGGAGAATCGTGAATCTTTTGACCTTAATGCTGCGAAGTTTGAAAGCACAGCGATGCGATTTTCGGGGGAAAAATCGCTCTGGCGCTGGAATCCTTTCAAAACAAGGCTTCCACCCTTGTCTTTCTTTAATGTATTACATTAACGACGAAATCAAACTCATTCAAAATCGCTCAAAAAGTCATTTTTGAGGCAAAAGGACGACTATACACCACAGGTAAGGTAATTCAACGTTTATTTCTCATTAATTTATATACATAGTCAGCGATATATCGCTATAGGTGAAGCACAGGCAGCCCAAGCTCACTTCTAGTAAAACGGACGTGACTCTTACCGTGTTGCGTAACGTTTTATATTTATAAAGGTTTGTATGGGATGTTATCGGTTTTCCTTAAAAGAGAGAAAAAANNNNTAAAACGTGATAAAGCCATGCGCCTTTGGCTCGTGATTTGTAAGCTTTCCTGGTATTATCCTAGCATCCCAAATGGCCTTACCACGTTATAGAGCCCGGAAAAAATGCGTTTTATTGCTGTTATGACATAATTAGTTACATATGGGCTCTATGACCTGATAAAGCATCTGATTGGAAACTGAATTGATCGATCAGACGGTGCGTACTATGTTCATTATAAACACGGAATAGACAGCAAGTAGAGCGGGCAATCCAATTGCAGCTTTTATGTTGTGGCGCAAGAAGATTTTTGGTAACAAGATATGTTGAAGAGGGTGCAGAACAAAAAATGTTCGATGTCAGGTATTTATTATTAGTATTGCGCGCCGATTATTAACACCTTTTATAGATTCTTCAAAAGACTCACTTGTGCTAGTGCCTGGACTGGACCGATTACGAGGCTTGCCAACTAACAACGCTTTTTAAAGTGTCACACGGCCAACAGGGTTTTTATTGTTTTGGTATCTCATTAACCTTTAATAAAGTATTCTAAAAAAAAAATTGGATTCTGACGCCTCTTCACGCTAAAATCGAGTTTTAAAGTTCCCGCTACGGCCACGCCCAATGAAGTTGACCGCGTAAGGAAAGATTGGTGATGAGTGACGTCACTCCAGGAGCGTCTCGAGCGTCATGTTGTTACTTTGCTTGACAAACGCAGTACTTTTACAACACATCTATCGGGAATATTTATGTCGCCGAAAACTCTTTACCTTACTGAAAAAAACAGTGAAATGAACCACTGGCGGGATTTGGCGCGTTCCTGACTTGACGTCACGACCCATTTTGAACCCAATCTCTTTTTTGCCCCGATTCACGGTCACCTTCGATGGGCGTGGCCAAAGCGGGAAGCTCAAGAATACTTTTTTACATGTTAAATACCTACCAAAACTATAAAAACCCTGTTGACCGTATCTATAGACAGATGTTTTAGTTGACGGTGACTTCTAACGATGTTTCACTCAACCATTTTGTTTTCCTCTCTTATTGTAGATTTGTGCCAATTCTTGGGGAGCTGGATGGGGAATGGATGGTAGGCTTTGCCTCATAAGATATGTGCATCTGCTCATGTGTGCACGCATGTGCTAGTCCTCATTGTAACGCGTATCTTAAAATAAACAAACAAACAAATAGAACAAAAACAAAGAACGTAATCAAAATAGCCTCTGTTTGACACGAAAAGGTGTCCTACTTTTTGTTTGCGGACATGATTTGTCCGGAGTAACCCCATTTTAACCCCATTGTGCTATTAAATATCATCAGAATGTATAAATTTTTTGTTATATTGTGTGAACGTAGGTAAGATTTATTTAATATTCCCTGGAATTTGTTTCTCTAATTTTGTAACGAAAAGCATTGAAACTTCAAAATTCTGATCTCCATTTTCAAACGGAGACTTTTAGGCGTATTGTTTGAAAATTGGAAAATTACTTTGTTACTCTTTAGCCTTTGAAGAACATATTCAGTCGAGTTACACGTTTTGACGGTAACCTTGAAGTAAAATTTTTATCCTCAGTGCGAAAAAAAAAAACATTTAAAGGATGACAATCATAATAGCCAGCTGTGGTTGGTGTTACGACATCCTTCCATTTTCGTCCTTTCTCTCCAAACTCTCAATTTCTCTATTCATTTCTCAAAACAGACAACGACGGTTGACAATATTTTGAGACAAACAAGGCTATCATTTCAATACGTTTATGGTGCGCTTTGGAGGTTCCATTCACGGCGATTTTTTTTTCCCGTATATGTGCAGTCACTTAGAATGTTTTGACAATACCAAATTCCGATGGCTAAAAACGTTCATGTACAACTGCAGAGGCGCCTCGCTGCTTGATATAGTGACACAACTCTTCCTTATTTTCGTCTTCCTCAAGCTCATTGTTCGTTTGTTTTATTTTGATAGGATTCTTTTACATCCGCCGAGGTACAGATGAGTGTGGTATCGAAAGTGGTATCACTGCTGGCATCCCATCTCTGTGATGGAACCAACTCCATAGCTGATCCGTTGACACTCTTGTTTGACATTACGATGCAGTTCGAAGGACGAACCCCACATTAAATTTATATTCTTCTGGTAGCGTTTTTAGAATAATAAGAAACTATTTCATTGATACCACTCTCGTTTACTGTAATTTTTTAAATAGTTAGGATTAAACAGAATTCCTAGACAGTACATTTTCAAACAAAAAACCTGAATTTGAATTTTGTTGCCAATGGAATTCTAAGACAGTGTAATTTAACTGAACTATATTTCTTAAAAAAGTAGGTCGATTTTGTAGACCGCTTAATTTAAAATTTTATTTTTTAGCAATTAAGAAAGGCAAGCACCCAGGCCTTTGGCGTTTAATTCATTTCTAAGACTTTGAAATTAAGTAGATCTTTAGACAAAATTTAGAAAAATAATTGTTAACAGAGTTTATAGACAGTAACTAAGTAGATTTCTGAAATATTTTAGCTATTAACAAGTGTTTTTTTATACTCCTTTTTTTACTGTAGTTTAGCTCTGTGGTTTTGAAATAATCTCATCGTCCAGTTTTGTCTAAATGTAATGAAATAAAATATCAGTTTTACAGATATTACTTTTATCATTGATCAGCGCACGTAATGATACAAAGTATGCACTGGAAGTTAATGCATCACAAAACGTTTTTCAAATTATTGTTTCTGTATATTTTAAGGTCAGATTTCTAATTGAACATGACGAAAATCGTCCAATTTCCGTTTGAAGGAATTTTCGTGTCTGTTTTTTTCCTTTTGTTCAGCGTTCATTGCCTCACGTCTTTACTGTAAATATTTTGAACCCGGTGGTAACATTTGATCGTGTAGTCTGATTATACGGGTGAGAGTAGTCCAGTCAAAGACTGTTGTCGGTAGTAGTGACTGACGTTTCGACAACCGTAGAGGAAGTCTTAAGAGTCGAGTTAAGAGTTGTCTGTCGCGTGCTCTGAGTCCGGTTTCTGTAAACTATTTGGTCAGTTTTGCTGTGATGTTATTGGCTTCAAGACTGAAGTAGGGTGGGTTGGTCGGGAAGAACAGACTACATGATCTAATCACATTTTCTGTCGATTCTCCGCCCTCGTCAACATTAAACCTCTCGTGTGTAACTCTTGTCAACTTTTGTCATAATTTGGCAAAGTTGAAAAATTTTGATGATCGTGATAGTGATAATATTGATAATGATAATGACGACAATGATCACTCACGGATTTGTTGGTAGAACACGTCCCGTAAATAAACTGAGATGCATACTGTTTTGATCTCGCTGTGTACAAATGTGGCTCGCCGGTGGCAGATTCGTGTCGTATCATGGGTAAGGTATGTACCAGCATTTGATGCTGTGTGGGAGAGCTAACCTTTGTTGTCTAGGGTACCTCAGCTAACCGGAAGTTAACCATGCGGCGTCGCTTAAAAGGGGAGAATGAACAATCCCGCTTAATATCAAACTTTGCAACAGAGGAATTGAAAAAAATTCAGGGTTTGAATTTCCACATATCTTGACAAAACTCTTTCAAATATTTTGGATATATGAACAAAGTTGAGATGGTAAATTGGCCTCCGTAACGATTACAAAAGCTGGCGTTTCGAGCGTTAGCCCTTCGTCAGAGCGAATAGAGGAATTGTGGGTTGTGTGTGCTTTTAAAGGCAGAAAATGGAGCTACGTGATTGGCGGGAACATGGCAACGAGAAAAACCCTTTCATTCCACTAATTTATTCATGTTTTTCTCGTTGCCATGCTCCCACCAATAACGTAGCTCCATTTTCTGCCTTTAAAAGCACACACAACCCACAATTCCTCTATCTCCGACGAAGGGCTAACGCTCGAAACGTCAGCTTTTGTAATCGTTACGGTGGCCAATTTACCCTTTCGACTTTGTTGATATATCCAAATTATTTCGTTACTCCCACCGACGCAGCCCCCAAACAGTTTCTTTCGAAACTATCAGCCTTCTTTCAAATATTCTTGCAAAGTATAGAACCATGGATCTGTGACAATTGACGCTTTATTTTGATACATTGATTTAAAATGGATTGAACGATTTATAATCTTTCTTATACCAATATTGAGCAAGAGACCCAAGGAGCCATCAGCAGCTGGCATTGTACTTGACATGTAATGATAGGATACACAGATATCGGGTGTGCCGGAAGGAGATCATCAATATGAAATCCCTTATAAGGGTTTAGCCTTGTATTGTGATGCATATTGTGTGATTTGTATTTTTGAATAAAATTCAACCTCGTGAATGCTAAAAGTTACCATGAAGTGACAAGATTACTATTCTATATCGGCTTATTATTGTGGCACGTACTTATGCGCATGCGTCACGATCTGTTTTGGAGGTTTTTGGGAGAACAGATTGTCCTGTTTAGACCACATTCTGCATAGCAAGGTTGGTTGTTGTACGTTTAAACGTTTTGTGTTTAATTAATCCTTTATTGTTAAAGTAGTGTGTGTGAATCATAAGACACACGCAGGACTTCGTGCACAAAAGATACGAAGTTAAAACAGTGCCAAAGGTTTAGAACAACTGTAGCGAAGAGTGCCAAACTGAAGCTAGCATGTCTATCCTAAACGACAACTAGGCCAGTTGGTGAGTTTTTATTAACTGTACGCTGGCTATGACAACTGAGTGTCCACTATCTTCAGCGAAGCACTAAACATGACTCACGATACAGTCACTGCATTTCTGCTAAGACAAAGGCTTACATCAATACCCTTAACGTAGTTTTTTAATGGAACAATGACTCGGAAGTGCAAGGGGCATCCAAGGTTTGGAGCTGTGAAGTGAGTTCTTTGTCTGCCATGTTTGCATAGTTGATGTAAGATGTTAATTGGACTAGTCCACAATGACCTTCAAATATATATCTACCAGAAAATTATCAATTGATTCGAGTGTACCCTTACACTGAGACATTCAAGAAATGATCATTCAAAGGGACGAAAAAAAAACCTCGGTCGTCTTTTAAGAAATAGAACTATCACATTGAGGCGATGCCTGATTGTCTCTTGTTTATTAGTTAGAAATTTCTGAACCTTTAATGATGCGAATTTCGATACTGAAAGACAACACAAGGTTAATCCAAAGGGCTGAATTAAACCTCGGTCACAAAGTAGTTTAGGGAGAAATCAAAGGTAAAGTCATTTTTCAGTTTTCGTGGTTATAGGGCACTGGACTTTTTACATTTCATGCGTTACTCAAGTGTCTTAGGGTCGTTGCCATTTTTATGATTTACGGCGATGGAGGTTTTAAAGAATCCATCGGTTGGTTGTCGGTCGTAGGAAAGTATTGGTTTTTAACTGGAACTTCCGGCATAGTCTTGCTTGAACTACAGTCTACTTGAGGTGTCTCCTCGAGTATTCCAATATTCAATCTCCGGTTACAATATGTCTGTTTTACATACTATAGCAAATTAAATATTTACAGATGTCTGTGTATTATGTAAAGATTTACATAACGTAGCACTGATATTACAAAAGAGGTGTTAGCTGAAATTAGATTCGTGCTTTTGATTTCGAAAAAAAAAAAAAATTAACTGCAATAGCTAACACAATTACTGGTAACCCAGTAGTTTACATTGTGGGCTATAAACAAATAATTCAAATTGAACATAACATTGTTAAGAATCCCAACTGGCCGGAGGCAAACCAGTTGGCTATTTACAAGCATGGCCGAGGATTTCAACTCGGAGCCACCGTGAAACAAATTCAGGTAGTGGTCAGGGCGGGACTCGAACCCGGGAGGGACGGATTGCGAGTCCGACACGCTGACCACTCGGCCACGCTGCCTCCAAAGAACCCAAGTGCACATGACATGCGCAGGGCGAGCTTAAAACCTCTTAAATTCTATTTTGCTGGCCCATTCTGCGATTACTGGCTAAATCTTCAGCAAGAACTGAATTAACTAAGCGAATCCGTGAGGCGAAAGTGTTTGTATGATCTGTTTTGGGGAGAGATAATGAGGGTTCTTTTTTTAATGTTCAAATAAAAAGGTAGCGTAAATCTACTAGCGTTCCTTCACAAATACTGGAATCTAATTGGCTACACTATCACTCACTATTTAAACAATAGAGTGTTTCTGTCGAGGAACTATCGGCTGATAGTTGCCCCGTGGAAATTTGATGTTCTTAAAACAACTATTTGCCCGAGAAGCGAAGCTTCGAGGGAAAATATGGTATATTCTCAGCCTTGCAAATAAAGCACTGATTACTTTAGTATTCGAGTAGACTGTGTGCCTCGTGGGTCAGTTGAACCACAGATTCTACCTTTGACGACATAATTTTAAGATGGAATTTTTGATACTGCGATTAGATGAGTAGTGCTTTTTGAAAAATAGCGATAACAAACGAAATAATAAATGTATTATGAAGTTAAGTAATTGGAAGTAATCTATTTGTCAGCGGGACCATTGTCACAACAAAAACAAACTTCTATTTTTGAGGTACTTGATATGTTTGATTTAGACTAATGGAGGTATTTGAGGTTCCGTAACGTGTGTTTAGGAAAATAATAGCTTCATTTGGTTGTCTAAAAAATACGTTTCCATGGCTCGTGGTAAACAGATGTTATTTGTTTATTCATTTGAGTTATAGAGATTTTCCCAATTTAAATTACATTCATGTTACGAGTTACATTAGCTACGACCGGTTTGCTCAGGCAGAGCATCAAACCTGGATCATAACCTGGTAGATCATAAGAAGGTGACAAAATATTTATCGACCCAGACGTGGGTCGTGGTCGTGGTCGTGGGCTAAAAGTAACTAAAAGTTCCATTTATTTAAGGCATTTTCGGGATTTCCTCTGACACAAAGGATTGATGCCGCTAAAATCCTTCCCAAAAGTCTTTAGAACACCGAAAAACACGCAAGAGACACAATCTTGTTATCTCGTTGTATGTAGACTAATAATGAATAACTTAATTAGGCATTATTGTACCATCAACCCAGCTCCCTCCTCGGTATCGATAGCCAAGTTAACGTTCAAAGAGGTTTAAGTTAAATACATGCTATTTATCCGTGCTTTTTCCAGTGAAGAATCCCATCTCTGTTGTTCAGGTTCAGTCGTGCTAAGTTTTCGGCTCTCTGTTTTGCTTTCCTTTTATTTGCATAAACGTTTTTTCTGGACAATTTCGTGTCCCTTTCCTTGCCATTATTCGAGCAAAGTACATTTAAAAAAAAACAAGACAAAACAAAACATCCGATCATGAGCCGGTTCAAGTATATACACATGTATGTGGTGTTATAGGAGATGCTGTAGCTTCACTGTTCATGCCACACTTAATTCTAACATTTTGGCGATGATTGCTACTAGCATACCGAGGTGTTTATGGCAACTTCGACATCACTTCTCCAACTTTATATTTTTTTCTTGTAAGTAAATTGTTTTGGATCTGATTGCTGTTCATCCTTATGCGCAAGAATCAATTGAACAAAAAGACTAATGGTCCAACTATAAAACCTTTTGATGTGTAAACATAATGAGCTTTTCAACTTCTTCCGTTTAACGAGGTTATATCAACTAGGTTGAAATTGTAAATTGGCCATCGTAACGAATAAAAAAGCTGACGTTTCGAGCGTTAGCCCTTCGTCAGAGCGAAACTTTTCTTCGTCGCTCTGACGAAGGGCTAACGCTCGAAACGTCAGCTTTTTTATTCGTTACGGTAGCCAATTTACAATTTCAACTTAGTTGATATAACCAAATTACCTTGTTACCCCCACCGACGCAGCACCACAGTTTCTTTGGAAACTCTCAGCCTATATTCATTCTTCCGTTTAACTGTCGAAAACTCTTGATCTAACAGCGAGTTTATTTTGTAGGAAGTCTTGCAACACCTGAGAACTTCTTTCATACAGAAAGTGAAATTTTTGTCTTAAAAGTCTCAGTCGAAACAAGACAATGCCAGGTCAGTTTTTAAAAGCAAATTACATTATGGAGAACATTAGGAGGAATGTTCTATTGTTTTCTTGTATTTATGCTCTCCATATGTTGGATATATTACCTACGAAAAACAATGTTTGTGTACTCAAGCACCTTTAAATGTTAAGTGTATCAGTCAGATCATTCTCTTTTTTCCATCATCCGGGCTGTGAACAACTCACTTCACTTTTGGAAAACTATCTAATGATTCAGAGATGATGATTAACAATTCAGTGTTTTCTTGAGCATGAGGTTTGATCTGTTTGTCTATGGACTCACTGGCTGATAGTGACGGCATATTCATTTTACTTCCGTTCCACCTGTGTAAATAAACGAGCTCATAACATAAGCTTGCTGAGGTGCGGACCAATACAATGAGATTTCACCAGTGACTTGATTAGATGCTAACACGCAAACCTTTAATATTTGGATGTTGTGAGGTTTGCAGCTGACAGCTACATCCTAAGTGAGCTGTGCCAAACTACATTAGTTATGTTATGAGATAAACATATCCTTCATGACGGAAATGTGCACCGGCGACGAGGAAAGGGCTGAAGAGTCCTCGTTATGGAATCTTGTGGACTATCTATAGGTAAATATGGTGTTTTGTCTTAAGCGGCACCAGTTTTTGTTACTGAAGCTTAGTAATTGTGTTTTAAGTTTTTTTCTTAAGAAAAGGAAGACAACTTTTCCAAGTTAATTGTTAAAAAAAGAAACATCAAGTGAAGGAAAGAAATTTGAAACCACGCGAGATTTAAAACATTATGGTCAACTTTGTAAGCTATGAAAATACTATCTGTCTCAGTGTTATGATTAAGAAAAAAATTCGAAACAAATGCCATTTCAAGCGTATCATCTTCCTAAAAATCTGCAGCTTCCTACGTGTTTAAAAGGGCATAATAAAGACGTTCAGCAGAGGGTTTTCTTTAATTTTGAAGTAGTTGATGATGCGGTAGCGAGAATAAGGGAAATAAATATAGAAAAAGACTGTGATTCAAAATCACAGAATTTGAGCCAGAATGCTTTGTTTTAGATGCCAGGATTAATTTAACCTATCTTAAGATTGAATTGAAAATTTACAGCAGATTAAAAAAGAAAGGAAATCTAAGTCGTTTTTTCACGGACCGTTAAACTGTGGAAATAATTTATATGAAGTCACGAATTCGAAGAGGTTGTCGAACCGCTTTAACAGCTATAAAAAGTGCAAAGCAGAGATCTCTATCACGATGGGTTTTTGTCGCCAAGTTGTCTTCACTTCTCGTCATAATCTGATATGAGATCCATACATACACAACTGTGGGTCTGATGTTTATGTTCGTCTTGACAAACTTGATTAAAGATATGCTGTTTTATTTCTGTTTAAAGAACAAAGTGATTCGTTTGGTAATATATACGTTAATTATTTTATTTGTCACGGAGAAAACCATTGGTCAAAGCGGAGAGCATATTTGATGCTATTTGCAAATTTATTTTCTCCTGAGCTCTCCTGAGCCTGAATCTGTAGGCTGAGGGAGTTCTTCGATCGCGGTATTTTTTCATTGGAGAAGTGTCTTATAAGACTTCGCAACATAATTGTTCTTTTTATCACAAGGAAAATGCTGACCAGCAGGACTAAAGGTAGACGGTTTATCTCACATAATCCTTTTAGCACACCCATCTGGAACTAGAATGTCAGCTGAATAATAATCATTACAAAAACCAAACCGCGTGCTCCATAGTAAACACTTTTTGCTTTGTTACTTCTCAGCCAAACGTTTTACTGGATGTTCAACGCAAATCGTTTTTAATCGAGCAGTCAGGCGCTAGTAGAAACACTAGAGAACGAGAAACTAACTGTTGAGAAGGTTATGGACGTTCACTGGCGTCTTGAAAACATAATTTTGTATCCAACTGCAGTTTCAAATGCAGTCAATAGTAATAACTTAGAAGATATTTGTACAAGAACTCTAAAATCTCTTTTTTTTACACGAACTAAAGACTTTTTTGACTACGATATACATGATGCATTTTTACAAGAAGCCCTTGTTTCTCGAGTTTTAAATTTTCAACATTAACCAGAGAAAGGTGTAAGCGATTCTTACAGAGAAAGGTGTAAGCGATTCTTACAGCTCAATCAGCAACTTTTCTTGATTTCTTGAACACGTGATTTTAGAAAGAAATCATTACCATTCCCCTGTGTCTTGCAGTCTTCTCTTCAACTACTGAAATGTTTCAAAAGAAATATTAGCAGATGTTTCTCAGAATAATAAGTTTGAAACTCTAGTTATCAGATTGTTAATCGCCACAAATTTGGTTACACCTTAAGAAACCTCATACAAATTAGCTATCGTCTGTTTTTGTCGGACCATTAGAACGATAGTTGATTTTATGGGATTCAGTGGCAGTTTTTCGCTTTGATTTGAATGCCTAGTCTTAAAAAAAGTTTACACTTCCAAGTGTGTCAAATTCAATCTAGTGATAGAAGATCATTGAAAATCCATTTAAACTGAAACCAGTTATCAACACACTTCCTCAGAGTAATTTGTGCTCGCAAATACAAAACAAAAGAACATCTAAAAAAAAATCAGTCCGACAAAAAAGACCCATACCAACTGGAGATAGAGGAAAAATAATATTTTCCTCAAAAGTTTTAAGGAACTCTGCTACCACAATATTGCATGCATCTTTCCTAGCTCCTCAATTTATCGAATAATTTTTTCCCAAGATATCAATCATAGATTGATTTCTGATAAACTTTTGAAAATTCTCTTGATTTCACTTCAGAAATAATTTAAAAGCGGTGATGAGAAAAGCTGACTGTTTTAAATCATCACTGTACATTCGTTAAATCAAAATGAAAATATTTATGCAGAAAGTCAAAGCTGAAATCATGTATCCTTGTTACATGGTCTCTGATTAAGGCTATTATCATTCTGATCACTAAGATGTACCAACATGCTGCTGATGCAAGACACTAGAAAATCCATCAAACCGGTTCTGCTAATGAAGTATGACTTTCGACGGTGAAGAATCGAGATTAGTTCCTTCGATAATATTTAAATAATTAGAAAACGAGATAAAACGCATTCGTAGCAGAAACTATAGAAAATAAACATAACCTTCATCTGGCATAATGCACACATAAGGATGGAACTTTCAAGATGATCCACGGGGCAAGATCTTAGGACAGTTAAATGCACAATACATAGTGCCTGGGTGCGAACGATACTATATCCACTCTGATTTGGAGGACAATCAAAAACAACTGGTGAGGAATATTATCTGATCGATCGCGAGTTCACATATTCTGTACATAGGATAATAAAGCATGGTTGTCTGACTCGCAGCAGTTTTTGGAGACAGACCGAGTCGTACGACCTTGAATTGATATATTCCGAGAGAATATAAAATTCACTTGTATATTCTTATCTGCATTTATGATTATAAAGTCTGTACATGGAAGTGGTTAGCTGCAAGGCAAGGGTTATCAGGTTATCCTCGAATGAAAATCTGCCTGTCTCTCACTGACAATGAATTTTGTTTTCAGGCGGCCTGTTAAACAACACAGCAAACCTTTCGTTCCCTGATGATGGTAAAACTGACCGTTACTTGAAGATGGGTTATCAGGTTCTCATTCCATGGGCCGTTGCATTCTCTGTCGTTGCTTTTGTTGTCCTTATTGGTAATATTCTTGTGATCGTATCGTTTGCAAAGAAAACTATTCTGCGAACTCATACCAACTACTTCATTGTTTCACTGGCAGCCACTGACACTTTCGTTGGATTGATCTCCATCCCATGGTGGATTATTATTCTGTTTATAAGTTATAAAGAACAGGCATGGTTTACATATTTGCACGACATCTGGGTAATATTCGATATCCTGGGTGGTATTGGCTCAATACTGCACCTGGTTGCCTTAAGCTGGGATAGATTTTGCGCTATTGTGTGGCCTTTAAGTCATCGTATTTACACCGGCAGGCGTTATTTGCTTATTTTGGCCTTGATTTGGTCAGTTGCAATTCCAGTTGCAGTGTGTTCAAAACCGGGAATGGCATCAGCGCCAAAGGCATACAATGTTACGGTCATAGTTGCTTTTTTTTTCGTACCATTAGTTATTATCTGTGTTTCACAAGCTTTTGTGGTTATTTCTATCCGAAAAAATAGAATACAAAAATTTTACAAGCTTAGAAGGAGTCTCTACAAAGAGGTTCGCGTTGCAAAGACGGTGATAATGATGATCGCATTATTTATGATTGGTTGGCTTCCTTTCTTCGCACTCTCCTTGGTGACTTACATCAGACCGGAAGTACAGCCATCATGGCAAGCAATCTGCGCTGTCAAGTTTCTTCAGTATGGAAACTCGGTTGTTAATCCAGTTCTGTATGCTCACAAATTTCCTCATTTTCGTAAAGCATTTTCAGCCTTACTTTGTCCTTTCCGTGAAGTTACGCAAAAGATGCGTAACGTTGGAGAAAGTTTCAGAGCAACACTGTATTCTTTAACCCCGGAATCGAATCGAAATAAAACTTTTCATAGGTACTTGGCAGAGAGACGGCCGGCAGATAATGAAGCAAGCAGCTCAAACATAGATTCATCAAAACAAAACTCATCAAATGACACTGCCCCGATTGGTGAACCCTCTCTTGAAGAAATCGAGCTTCGTGAGAGCCAGCCTAATATTTTTCCGTAACAGACATCAGTATTAGTTATTGACAAGGCTTCTTGTTACGCACCTTGTAAAAGCATTTCTTTCATTGGCTAACATGGTCATTGCTTTCCTTTAACCAATTCAGTGGCTGAACTACGATTAAGAGGCATGGTTAAGAAAAAATATGACACAAACAGAACATATGAGCAATTGGTGGATCTATAAATTAATCACCGCCATTCAATTTAGCATCAAACACATCATATAGCTGATGAATTTGTTTACAAACCGATTCCCAAATGGGTTCTCTACATTTGAACACCAAGTTTTCAATGGATCGTATTTGACATCCTTATTCGTTCTTATCCTTTAAAATTGGAATTGGGTGGCCAATTATTTCTCAACATGAGATCATGGGATCAATTTTTATAACAATCAAGGTTACCGTAACAACACTGAGGCTTCTTACGACTGACACCTTTTTTCAATTTGTTTTGTGCCTCTAACTCAAAAACGGGCTCGGTGATCGGTGAAACTATTTTGTAACACTGAACTTTGATCAACACATCAGAGCCATCATATTCAGATTATTTAAGGTGACTCTGAGCCCTGCGTATACGGATGTTTTTTTAAACTGATTAAAAATTGTTGAGAAATTGTTGGACTTGCCTTGGACACATTTGAAAGAGAACACAAAAACAAATTGTATGATCAATCCACCAAAAAAATTAATGAGCTTGCATGGTTAGACAGCATCTTACAAGTTTTCCTTCTCAAAGCTGCAGTGAATTGAGGAGTTCAAGGACAACTACAATAACTTGCTTAACCTCCCGACCACAAACACGGAGTGTGACAAACGAGCATCGTTTTGTCACGGTCGCAACGCAACAATGTTAAATCAATCAGTTACCGTAAAGGTTTTCTGTATGCGTATAAATCTAAATATCTATGCACATGACGTCTAGAATATTTGTTAAGTCAATTTATGAAATAAAAATGCCGAATGCCTCGTGGTAAACCCAACTCATCAGAAACTGAACCCAAGAGGTGAATAAAGGAGCAAGGGAAAATAAGTGAGGAAAAGGTACGAATTGCACAGGCGTTACATCTGGTCATTAAGAAGCCGTACGGGTTTCTGTTGATGTTAATTTGCAGTGACTTACTTTGTATCTTGGTCGTGTCTCTACTCATAGTCTGAGGTCAAGACATTCTCTTAGTCGAGGCAATTGATCAAGAGGCCAAAAAGTTCTGTAAAATGATTTTTTAGAAATTTCCAAAATGATTTCTGACTCGTGTTGACGAAACACTGGTATCAAAACTGCATAGTTGTTTTTCGACATGTTTTAGTCATATGCTTGCCTTTAAGGACACCACAGCTACAGCACACTGAGTCTCTTTGAAACAATTTTAATTTTAGTTTTATGTGCTTATAACTCAATGACGAGTCGGGTGACTCCCCCCCGCCCCATTTGTTATTGTCTACTTCTAATCAGCTAAACTACTCTTTTCTTTTTTAAAGTCTTGGGAAGATGTACCAGACTACATCTTAAAAACTTAAGAACTTTCTAAGGGGATGATAGAAACTCTTTGAAGATAAGATACATCAAATGATTAGTAACTGAAAACAGTAAAACCATTCTGAGCCACTACAGCAGGCAGGAGGAAGGAAGTCGTTGCAAATGTTGAGTACTCCCTTGGGTCTCGCCAAGAATTTTAGGAATGTACGGTTGCCAAGTTAGACCATTGATCCTCTTTTCCTTAATAAGAATAGTGAGTGATGCTATGCAAGGAAAATTATATTGGTCCAGCATGCCCTCTCACAGTAGCTTAGCACTGTTATTGTTCATTACTGTTTCGCGGAGAGAGTATTATTAGTAGAAACTTTTAAATTCAAAAGTGTTCATTTTAAAGTTACAATGATGCTTCTTTTGTGCTATTGTGTTCCAATGTCGTTCACTAGACCATAGATGTAAAAGTCAAGGTTTTAGTCTTTCGAAAGAGTCTTGACGTTTTCCCTTTGTTCCCTGAGTTCAATGATTTCATCAAGGGATCTGCTGAGTTGACAAGCAAAGCCGGGAAAGCAGTGAAAGACAGGGTTGTCGATGTGATGAAATCTACTCAAAGTCATGTCTTCATTAGGAGCCAAAGGATACTCTGGATTTTCTAAATAATTAGATTTTTGACACCCAAGCCAGTGACTATACAGCTCCACGAATGCTTGGTAATAACCAGGGATCCTCAATGTGTGTATGATAGGATTTGCAAATGAACTACTGTATTGAAGAACCTTGAACACAAGAATAAGCTCGTATTTAATATCAACACATGTATGGCATGCCCAGTATGCAAAATTCAGGCCAAAGAATGGAGCCCAAGCGACTAAGAAACAACCAATGATTAGTAATATCGCTTTGGCGAGACGAGTGTCTTTTCAACGCTCTGGGTCGGACGGGTATTCAGTCTAACACTTTTTAAGGCTATGAAAAACATGGCCATGTAGACAATAAGTATTACTGTTAAAGGCCACACGAAAGACACCATGAAAACAAAAAGTGTGTAATTGAGCCATCTAGAGGCATCTGTCACAGTTATAGAGCTCAGTGCTATTGATCATTGCCCCAAACGAGGACAATAAGACAGTAATATGGCCTCTTAGATGATAATCGATGAAGAAATGGCCAGCCAACAGCGTAAAACCTTTCTATACTTATCATTATTAAATACCAAATAGATGCTGTTGCACTAAAAACATCAATAGTATTCCACAAAGTGTACACGAAATTAGGAAACTCCATTGAATTTGCGAGGGTGTAGATAAACGAAGGTATTCCAACACTACCCACTATGATGTCTGACAAGGCGAGACTCATGAGAAAATAAGCAGTTCGAGTGCCAATTTACGTTTTCTGAGAAAAAGCGAAACAGCAGTAACGTTCCCCAAAACAACGCCAGTTGAAATAATCGCAATTATGATGCAAAATGTAATTCTAATGACGGTGCTTAAATGGATCAGTTCTTGGAGAGTTTCTGAAGAATGTGTGGTACTGAAGATGTTCGACCTGTTAATTGATACGGGTAACTCGGTAGAGATCGTCATTTCTTTCCTTTCTGATGAACTGCCTCCTGCAAGAATGAAGTGAGTTTTTCAAGCCTGTGTTTATTCGGTGTCTTCCTGTTTTTTTTTCTAAACAACAAGCGGGCGAGAAACGTGTCATTTTCTGGAAATAATTAAGCAATTCTATAGGAAAATTCATTACCTGACGAGGGAATTCCGCGTTTTATCATACAAGGGGCAAAATTACTAAATTGTGATTGGTCAAGACAGAGGGAATTTTTTCTTAATTTTTGTAATTGCCCCGGGCAAAGTTACTTGAAAATGATTGGCCGAAAATCGCTTAGCAACGGCTGTGTCTATATTGCTGACTATGTACATAAATCATTGATAAATAAACGTTGAATTACTTAACCTGTGGCGCACAGTCGTCCTTTTGCCTCAAAAATGTTTTTTTTTGAGCGATTTTGATTGAAGTCGTTAATGTAAGTTGCCTCCGGTGAGCGTTAAGACACACGACCCGAGTCTGGTGGGTAAACAGTTGAAGGGTCACTAAACGCCAATGGTTCCCCACCCTCGTTAGATATTTTGAATTGGTCATCGTTTAACGTCGTCCAATCAGAAAAGGGCGATCAAAGTGACGCTTGTCTGGCTGGCACATGAGAATCTTGCTACGCATTCCAGACGCTAAAATACTGTGGGATTTTGATTTTCTTCAAGGGCTAACGCCGGGCCGCTTGGATGGATTTTCGATTGGAAGGTACGAGGAGAATCGTGCATCTTTTGACCTTAATGCTGCGAAGTTTGAAAGCGGAGCGATGTGATTTTCGGGGTCAAAGTCGCTCGGGCGCTTGAACCCTTTCAAAACAAGGCTTCCACCCTTGTCTTTCTTTAATGCATTACATTAACGACGAAATCAGACTTATTCAAAATCGCTAAAAAAAAAACATTTTTGAGGCAAAAGGACGACTATGCGCCGCAGGTAAAGTAATTCAATGTTTATTTATCAATGATTTATTTACATAGTCAGCAATATATCACTCTAGGTGAGACAAAAGGTAAATCTGGTACATTCACTATAAAACAACGGTCGGCTACACAGACAGATTGTATGGGCCCCCTATGGTCGTACCCGGTTAAACCTTCGACAATTTTCTTTGTACCTCGTGCTTGATTTTACATTAATTTTCGAACTTTTTAAACAAGCTTCACACTATTTAAGGATAATAGTAGTATTTCACTGAATTTACAAGCCGTTTATCGTTAACATTTTTTTTCAAAATTCCAAATAATTTGCTCGAGAAAGAAAATGATTTACACCTCTTACCTCTTTGGTGGCAAACTGAGAGACTGATGAAGCGTGCAAGCGAAAGCACTGATTTCAAGTGCAATAAGATCGCAATTAATATCAGGTAAGTGCCTTGAAGTGTAAATACGTGTATTGGTCGATACTTTATTCCTTTAAAAACAAAGAAGTGTTACATGAAAAGTCCAAAAACTTTAATCTTTTTATTTGTAGAAATCCACTACAGGCTGAATCGTTGAGATGAGCATTCAACTGAAAGTTGATGGAAATGTTCACTGGAGAGTTGTTGAACGATGCATTGGTGAACAGTCCACCTAGAACTCTTGCTGTTAGACCATCACTACCGCTATTCATTGTTGTTGTGTTATTGCCGACTACTGATGGAAGTGCAAGGTTTTTGACATTAATTTCTCGAAAAGCTTCAGTGCGTGGACCGCCGCTGGCGTTGGCAGCTGTGACAGTCGTAGTAGTACGACTGAAAACCCAGCCGACTTGCTTGACATCCTTCGTTGTTTTTCTAAAAGATTATGGCTGTAGGTGGATATTGAACCGGGTTGGCGTGACCTGTTAGCTCGAAGATTTTTTTTCTGGGCCGTTTTCACAGGATTTTCTCGCTTTCGCGTTGTCGCGAGCGAAAGAAGTTTTTCACGCCTCTCCAAGAATTTATAGTTCAGTTCAAAACAAGGAAGAACCTCAGGCTCACTTTGAGAAACGCTTTTTTGTCTCTGGTTCTTTAGAAGGTGACAATGGTTTTGAAGACATTTTAAATTGACTCAGAAACCAAACTTTGTAACGATTTGACGATACAATGACTATATGAAGTTCATATATTTTGAACTGCGGTATTAAATACGTATGATGCACGATCCTTCGCAGTAGATAGCGCTATTTATGCAATAGCGAAAATCAGACCTGAAAAAAATCAGGCCTGTACGGGATTCGAACCACTGACCTCTGCGATACTAGTGCAGCGCTCTACCAATTGAGCTAACAAGCCAACTGGGAGCAGGCCGTTAAGTTGATTCGTAATAAACCCGTGATGATAAATCAGATACAATGAATATATGAAGTTCATATATTTTGAACTGCGGTATTAGATACGTATGATGCACGATCCTCGCAGTAGAGAGCGCTATTTATGCAATAGCGAAAATCAGACCTGAAAAAAATCAGGCCTGTACGGGATTCGAACCACTGACCTCTGCGATACTAGTGCAGCGCTCTACCAATTGAGCTAACAAGCCAACTGGGAGCAGGCCGTTAAGTTGATTCGTAATAAACCCGTGATGATAAATCAGATACAATGAATATATGAAGTTCATATATTTTGAACTGCGGTATTAAATACGTATGATGCACGATCCTTCGCAGTAGATAGCGCTATTTATGCAATAGCGAAAATCAGACCTGAAAAAAATCAGGCCTGTACGGGATTCGAACCACTGACCTCTGCGATACTAGTGCAGCGCTCTACCAATTGAGCTAACAAGCCAACTGGGAGCAGGCCGTTAAGTTGATTCGTAATAAACCCGTGATGATAAATCAGATACAATGAATATATGAAGTTCATATATTTTGAACTGCGGTATTA